AACTGACCATTTATTGCTAGTCTTGGTTTCCTGTCTTTGGACCAGTTACTGATCCGTCAGGGGACCTTCCCGCTTACCCCAGGACTGCGTCCTTTGCTTAAGAGCCTTTGGTGAGAGCCCTTGGGCTGGTCTACACCAGGGGTTCTCAACTGTTTCCTTTCTGAGGCCCTCCCCTGACCCCACATGCTAAAAAATTCCACAGCATTGGGGGGTAGCAAGCAGGGCAATTGCTCGGGCTTTGGCATTCTGCCCTGGGCCCCAGTGAGTCTAACGCCAGCCCTGCTCTCTGGCTTATTTTGGCAGCCGCCCTGAAACCTGGTCGCGGCCCCGCAGGGGCCCTGGACCTCCCAGTTGAGAACGGCTGGTCTACACTATGGAATTAGATCGACCCAAGGCAGGTCCTGTGGAAAATGTCAACACTTAAATTTCACGCCTGTGGACGTAACTGCCTCGCTACGCCGACTTAATAACTCCACCTCCCCGAGTAATGTAGAGTGCAGGTCACTGCAGTGTCAACGGAGACGCTGCGGTATGATATTTTCCCTTTCGCTATCTATCCCTTTCCCAATTGCGCTGGCTTTTGGGACTGCTGCTGCACAGGGTAGACGCTGGGTTGCTTACGGCGGGACTGTTCCTGGCTTTCAGGAGCCCGCCCCACACTGCCCCACGTGGACAGTACAATCGAAGCCAGCTCTCCTGGTGAGGAGGCGCGTGGCCGGCACGAGGAGCACCGTGTGGATACGCACGAGCCGTGTCATTACTGCGATGCCGGCCCGTGGGCGTAAATTCGGTCAGCTGTGTTTTGCCGTGTAGACAGGGCCCTGGAGGACTGTGGGCCCCAGGCCAGAGATGCAGTGGGGACGGACTGCTGGGAGGATGTGACCCCTTAGTCGGCGGGCGACTGCTGCCGATTAGAGGTGCTGCTCGTTTCGGAACTGCCTCTGGGTTCATGGGCCTAGTTAACCCTTTAATGGCAGGATTGTCAAAACTCCCTTGTGCTGAGCTGGGGGGTCTCGCTGCTCAGCCTGTGTTGATTGAAACGTCGCTGCTCTTCCCTTGTGTGGCAGGCCAGCTCCAGAGAGTTCGGCACAGGGGCACCCGTTTGCCCCCGCCCGTGCCCACATTTCTGCCCGGGCTCCGTAGGACACGTGTGGTCACACACTTGCACTTATCACCCACGTACACACGTGGAGACAGAGCTAGTGCACGTCTCGACGCTCACACTCCGGCCTGTAGGTTCAGACACTTGCCCGCAGATACCCGGGCGCTTGTTTGGCACATCCCTGCCCAGACTCAACCACGTTTGCACGTCCAGTGACGAGCGTGCACTCACATGCCTACCTCCCCCCATTGGCACCTGGAGACCCCAGTCATGCACCAGCACCCCATTGTGCAAGGGGCTGTACAAACCCAGAACAAAGTCACTACCTGCTCCAAGGCACTTGGTGCATGCCTGTGGGTTCGCACATGTGCTGACTCACAGATCTGTACTGTCCGTCCCTAACACTGCGTGTGTTCTCCCACCCCATTGGCATGCACACAGATGTATTTATGCCTCCCCCTGTCTCCAAAAACATTATTTTTATTCAGGTTACCATAGCGACTGAGATGGGTGGGCCCAGCTGAGTGATGTGCAAACACCTTGTCCCTCCCCCAAAGAGCTTACAGTGTAAAGGGACAAAGGGGAAACTGAGGCACAGCAAGGGACTGTGACTTGCCCACGCTTGCCCAGCACCAGAGCTGGGAATAGAAGGCAGATTTCCTGAATCCTCGTCCAGTGCTGCCTCTGTTCAAAGCCGTCTGTCTGCCCCCAGAGTGGGGTTGGGAATGGCACCTTGCCGTGATGAATACAACCATCCACAGAGGGAATATTCATGGGACGCTCTGTGTGTCCTGCCCCGTTCCCATGCAAATTGTCCCCTTATCTCCACTCCCTATCTCCGCTATGGCCCTTGGCTGCAGGTTCGGCTGCTGGTGCCCTCTCTCCTTTTCCTGCACGCCCTGTCTCCTGGGCACGGGCCCAGCTTGCCCCAGCCAGCAGCTCCATTCCCCTAGCCCCGGTGGGGTCTGTAAAGAGGAGCCGGCTTGTGCTACTTCCCTGATTCGGCCACCCCCTCCGGCCCCACAGCAGGAGCTGGGTCTGATCCGCTGAACGTCACCCCCCTGGAATGTGGGCAGCACGGAGCAGTAAACAGCCTCCAGCCTGGCTGCTCCCCCACCCCCAACCACATGCAGCTGCTGCATTCAGTGGCCTGGAGCCAAATCTCTTATTAATGAGCTCAGTGGATGGGGCATTCGGGGACAGACGCTCGTCGCTCGCTGCCTCGGTGGCTTGTTTGTGGTTTGGACATGTGTTTTGGGGGGGTCCACCCCCCCCCCCCCGGATTCGTTCCTGAGCAGTCGAGGTGCATTGGGAGGCATTTTCTAGTGAGCCGGCTGGTCCTAGCTGGGGTCCTACCAGTGCCCCCCCCAACTCCTCAGGGATCCCCAAATCCAGGGTTTCTCCCATAACACCCCCCCCTCACTCCAACCCCTGAGGAGGATCCAGCTGAACCCTGGATTCCCCACCTCACCCCATAAAGGGATCTGCCAAATCTGGGCTTTCTCCTCGGAACACCCCCTACCCCTAATGAGATCCAGGATTATCCAGGATTGCCCCTCACCCCACCTGCTCACTTGTACCCCTCCTAGGTTCTGTCCAAGCCCCATATTTCCTTTCCTGACAACCTCCTGGGTCCCAGATTCACAGAAAGTAGCTATAAATATTCCAATGTGTTTAATATTTAACTCCCTGGCTCTCCAAAGGAGATTGTTGCTGTGGATTCCAGGTGGATTGTTGGGGCTGCACCTTCACCAGCGGGGCTATTGCCTGGGGCAGGGAGCTCACCACGGGAGGGTGGGTGATGTGTGCTTGGAGTCGAGGGTGAGTCCTGCCCTGATCCATCAGGGGCAGTGCAGGTTCCTACATTACCCTGGCATCAAAGCTCCTCCCAGTCTTCAGTATATTTACCCTCATCACATCATAGAATATCAGAGTTGGAAGGGACCTCAGGAGGTCATCTAGTCCAACCCCCTGCTCAAAGCAGGATCAGTCCCCAATTTGTGCCCCAGATCCCTAAATGGCCCCCTCAAGGATTGAACTCACAACCCTGGGTTTAGCAGCCCAATGCTCAAACCACTGAGACATCCCTGTGAGCCAGGGCGGTGCTGTGATCCCCGGGTTACAGATGGAGAACCGAGGCGCAGAGAGACCTAGGGGATGTTTACGAGGTAATTAGACACTGGGGTTGGCTCGTGCCAGCCGACTTGGGCTCGCTGGGGCCGGGGTAAGGGGCTGTTTGATTGCGGCTTGGAGATGTTCGGGAGCCGGGGCTCTAGGATCCTGGGAGGGTCTCGGAGCTCGGGCTGCAGTCTGAACCCGAACGCCTACCCTGCAATCAAACAGTCCCTTAGCCCGGGCCCTGCGAGCCCGAGTCGGCTGGCACAGGCCAGTGGTGGGTGAATAATTGCAGTGTAGACACACCCTAGGTGACCTTCCCAAGGTCACGCAGGGTGTTTGTGTCAGAGCACATGCCCAAGCCAGCACCTTAACCATTGGGCCATCCTTCCCCTCACTTTGCTCCCCCAGCAGTGGAGATGGGCCTCACTCGAACCCCCCCAGATCTGAACGATGGGGTCCAGTCCAAACTGTGCAGCCGGGACCCACCTCCTTTCTGCTCCAATCTGAGACCAACTCTCCTTCCCCCCCTGCCCCTTTAAGAGCCCCGGATCCAATGCCCATACCCTTAAAGGGACAGGATCCTGGGGGTGGCGACATCTGTTCCGAGATTGGGGTCACTTCTCATCAACCCGAAAGCAAGCCGGACACGTGGGACAGGGCAGGAGGCTGGCTGAGTTGCAGATGGCACAGCTCGTCCTCCCCACCCGGATTCTCCACCTTGCCCATTTCTACAGCCACACCTGCCTCCCGCCCTCCTGGGTGGTGCTGGGAAATTCTCGGGTTGTTTCTTTCTTTAAGGAGAAAATGCACCTTTCCCTGGCGGCGCCTGTTACCAGTTGGGGTGCCGGGGGGAGAGTGGGGGGTCTCGTGGCTGACTGGGTGCTGAGCCATCTGCCTGCAGAGAGGGGGCAGGGCAGGGGGCCGTGGTGATGAAGTGGCTAATTGCCAGACGCAAATTGGCCCCGTTTGAAGGGGTTAGGAAGTGGCCTTCTCCCAGGGGTCCCAAAGCAGGATGGCCTGACTCTGACCGATCTAGGGGTCATGCTGATTGCCAGATTTGGGGCCAGGAAGGAATTTACCCCCCTTGGGCAGATTGGGCTGGGACCTTGGAGTTTTTTGCCTTCAGCTTGGGGAGGGCGGTCGCTGGCTCGGTTCATCTGCACGTCTCTCGCCTGGTCAATTCCCTGCCATTGCAGGGGGCTCGGGCTCTGGTGGCCCCTTAGGCTCTCCTGTTCTCGGCCTGGGGTCCACAACAGTTTACTTTGCTGCGGGCTGGCTTAAGTGGAACTAACGCCATTGGGTTCAGGGGGTCTATCTGTGCGACAGGCGATGGCTTGTTCCTTACAGGAGGTCAGACAAGATGAGCTAATGGTCCTTTCTGGCCTGAAACTACACACTCCTCTTTGGCCCGAGGGTGTCTCAGAAGGACAGGGACCCGTGGGTGGGGTGGGGTGGGGGGTTGTCACTGAGACCACCCCATCCCCTGTCTGTTTGCCAGCGCCCCGAGCAGCTCATTCTGGGCAGCTATGTGGCTGATTCTTCTCTCAAGGTGGTCGCAGCTTGGGACGGAGTGTGCCAGGCTGTGGGTGGTTGAATCCTGCTGGTAGGGTCTGGGTCAACCCTGTGCCCCGGCAGAGGCAGTGCGGGGCCTTGACGTCCGCCCTGTGTGGCTCTTTCTTTTTCTTCTCCTCCTCCCTCCGTCTCTGCCCCGCTTCCTTGCACTGGGATTCCCTCGCTTTCACCCTGCCCTCTTCTTCTGCACCCCTATTTCTTCCCCCAGCCATGCAGCAGGTGCTGGACAACCTGAGCGACCTACCCAACTCCACCGGGGCGGCTGACCTGGATCTCATCTTCCTCCGAGGCATCATGGAGAGTCCAATAGTAAGATCCTTGGCTAAGGTACAGTCGCATGGGGTGGCTGGGGAAGGGGCAGCAGCTGTGTTTGAATCTGCTTTTCCCGATCAAGTGCAACTTCCCCTGTCCCCGTCTTCCTGCCGCAGGTGCCTTTGTGCGGCGGTTCTGTTGCACAGTCGTCCCTGGCTCTCCCTTGTGTTTCCATTTCCATGGGTGGGCTGGGGTAGCTGCTACCAGGCCAGGCTCTTCTGGGTGTGGCTGGGAGCCACTGATGTCTGGCCTGGCCCCAGCTTTAGCCCCCTGCACTGGTATAGAGGGTCACCACCTCCTGTGACCTTGGACTGCAGCTGGCCTCCCCCAGACCCCCCTTGGCCAATCGCATCCAGCTGCAAAGTGCACAGGTCTGGAGCGGGGGGTCATGCGCGTGGATGGGTGTGCAACGCCTGTGCAAGCGTGTGGAGTGTCAGCGGTTGAGTTGATCGAGTGGGGGTGATGCGTGTGTAACGGGGAGGAGGTGGGTGTGAGATTCTGGGAGTAGGGGTGTGTGTGTGTGTGTGTGGATGAAGCTGTTTGGGAGGGGGTTGTGGGTATGCGCGTGTGGAGTTTGTAGGTGACACGGGTCTGTGGATGCTTGTGTGTGTGTGTGATTTTGAATGTCACTGGCTGATCGTTTTGGGTGCTTTTCCGAAGGGTCTGACTGTATAGTGGGGTTGTATGAATGTGTGGGACACAGGTTGTGCTTCCCAGGTTGTCTGCGTGTGCTCCAATGAGCTTGTGTGTGTGTGTGTGTGCAGATTGGTTACACTTTGGAGCATGCTGGTTACACTGGTGGGTGGCGATGCACTCGCGCCTGTCTGTCTGCTGGCTCCAGCCTGTGTGTTTGTTCACGCACCCGTGTGCTGGCTCCAGTGTGTGGGTGTGAGTCTGTGTGTGACAATGTTATTTTTAGTACCCTTCTGTGCCTTGCTCCTCTGGGTGCCCAGGCAGTGACCTCCCACCCTGCCAGCCCCCGTCACTGGCACCGACAGAGGGGGAGAGGAGAGGCACCAATTCAAGCAGGCTGGAGATGGGCTAGCTTGCTGGGCTGCTCCCGGGCTTGGCTGTCGGGGTCCCTCGGGGGGCCGGGTGACGAGCGTGGGAGGGGGCTGGCGGTGAAGTGCCGGAGGCACAGACCCACGGGGCTGGAGGCGCTCAGGAGAGGGAGATTTCTGCTCCCCAATTCTTCTCTCATCACTACTCTGCCAGGCCGACCCCCTGCCTCTCCCGGAGGGCTAGTGGCTGGAGGACGTGTGTCTGCCTGCCTGGATGCTGTGTGTGTGTGTGCTACCGTGTGTGTGGGCATACCAGCGCTCTGTGTGTGTGTGTGTGTGTGTGCGTGCATACCAGCCGTGTGTGCATACCAGCGCTCTGTGTGCGTGCATACCAGCCGTGTGTGCATACCAGCACTGTGTTTGTGTGTGTGTGTGCGCGTGCATACCAGCACTGTGTGTGTGTGTGTGCTACCGTGTGTGTGCGCATACCAGCGCTCTGTGTGTGTGTGTGTGTGTGTGCGTGCCGATGTGGGCATACCAGCTGTGTGCGCATACCAGCGCTCTGTGTGTGTGTGTGTGTGTGCGTGCATACGAGCACTGTGTGTGTGTGTGCTGATGTGTGCATACCAGCGCTCTGTGTGTGTGTGTGTGTGTGTGTGCATACGAGCACTGTGTGTGTGTGTGCTGATGTGTGCATACCAGCGCTCTGTGTGTGTGTGTGTGTGTGCGCGCGCATACCAGCGCTCTGTGTGTGTGTGTGTGTGTGTGTGTGTGTTACCAGCGCTCTGTGTGTGTGTGCTGATGTGTGCATACCAGCGCTCTGTGTGTGTGTGTGTGTGTGTGCGTGCCGATCTGGGCATACCAGCTGTGTGCGCATACCAGCGCTCTCTCTGTGTGTGTGTGTGTGTGTGTGTGCGTGCATACGAGCACTGTGTGTGTGTGTGCTGATGTGTGCATACCAGCGCTCTGTGTGTGTGTGTGTGTGTGTGTGCGCGCGCATACCAGCGCTCTGTGTGTGTGTGCTGATGTGTGCATATCAGCCGTGTGGGCATATCAGCCGTGTGTGTGTGTGTGTGTGTGTGTGTGTGTGTGTGTGTGTGTGTGCATACCAGCACTATAGGGCAAGCAAGGAATACGGCCGGGGGGAGGGGTGCAAGATGCCCGGAGACCCGATCAGCGGCTGTGACAGCTGGCGTGGCCGAGTCTCAGCGGATTCCACCGCCCGCCCCTCCCCGTTTTAGCCCCAGAGATGCTGGGCTGGGTGGGGCTGGCCTCGCCGACGGGCCCCTTGCCCCCTGCCATCCTGTTGTTGCCTAGGAGCAGATGCTGGGGTATTAAGCACCATGTGATCGGGCGTCTGTGTCACAGGGCTGGGGGTGGCAGGGGGCCAGGTGCGGCATCACAAGCCCCCCCCCCTCCCCCCCCGGTCTCTTCCTTTCCATGCAGGGCCCGGCGCCTTGCTCTCGCCGGCCACGGGCTGCAGGCGGACGGGGGCTAACGGGGTTTGTCTGGGCTCTCTCATCCCCCTCCGCAGGCCCACGAGCGCCTGGAGGAGACCAAGCTGGAGGCCGTGAGGGACAATAACGTGGAGCTGGTGCAGGAGATCCTGCAGGACATCGCCCACGTCGCTGGGAGCAACAGCACGGCCGCCGAGCTGGCATGCATCCTGCAGGAGCCCCACTTCCAGGTGCCGTCGGGGGGCAGGGCGGAGCATGGCCCTCTGGCTGCGTGTGTGGGGCAGGGGGTCCAGCTGGGGTCTGGGGGGCAGGGCTGAGCATGGCCCTCTGGCTGCGTGTGTGGGGCAGGGGGTCCGGCTGGGGTCTGGGGGGGGGGCCTCTGTCGTGTGGGGCAGGGGTCCGGCTGGGGTCTGGGGGCAGGGCTGAGCATGGCCCTCTGGCTGCGTGTGTGGGGCAGGGGGTCCAGCTGGGATCTGGGGGACAGGCAGGCTGGCCAGGGTTATGCCCCTCTGGCTGCGTGTATGTGGCAGGGGGTCCGGCTGGGATCTGGGGGGCAGGGCTGAGCATACCCCTCTGGCTGTGTGTGTGGGGCAGGGGGTCCAGCTGGGATCTCGGGGACAGGCAGGCTGGCCAGGGTTATGCCCTTCTGGCTGCGTGTGTGGGGCAGGGGGTCCGGCTGGGATATGGGGGGCAGGGGCTATGGCCAGGGTCACACCCCTCTGGCTGGGTGTGTGGGGCAGGGGGCTGGCTGGGATCTCGGCGGCAGGGAGGCTGGCCAGGGTTACGCTCCTCTGGCTGCGTGTGTGTGGCAGGGGGTCCAGCTGGGGTCTGGGGGGCAGGGCTGAGCATGCCCCTCTGGCTGTGTGTGTGGGGCAGGGGGTCCAGCTGGGATCTGGGGGACAGGCAGGCTGGCCAGGGTCACGCCTGTCTGGCTGTGTGTGGGGACAGGGGTCCAGCTGGGATCTGGGGGACAGGCAGGCTGGCCAGGGTTATGCCCCTCTGGCTGCATGTGTGGGGCAGGGGGTCCGGCTGGGATCTGGGGGATGGGCAGGTGTCACGGAGTCCCCGGGCGATGCTCTGGAACTGCTCCCCATGAAGCCAGGCAGGACTCTGGGGCAGTCGCCTTTCTGGGAGCAGCCTGTCTTCAGGACACACAGCTCACACAGCTTCCACCTTCCTGGGTCTGACCTCGGAGCATTCAGCATCCTCTGCCCCTCCATGCGCTTCCCCCAACGAGTCCGCCCAGGCGGGGTCCTGGGGAAGCCAGAGGGTCCTGCCCCCCAACTTCGCAGTCAGATGTGACTCTCAGCCAGCCAGTAAAACAGAAGGTTTATTAGACGACAGGGACATGGTCTAAAACAGAGCTTATAGGTGCAGAGAACAGGACCCCTCAGCTTGGTCCATTTTGGGGGGCAGTGAGACAGACAACCATGTCTGCACTTCACTCCTTGTCCCCAGCCAGCTCCAAACTGCCTCCCCCTCCAGCCCCTCTTCCTCTGGTCTTTGTCCCTTTCCCGGGCCAGGAGGTCACCTGATTCCTTTGTTCTCCAGCCCTTTAGCTCTCACCTTGCAGGGGGGAAGGGTGCAGGCCATCAGTTGCCAGGAAACAGGGTGTCGGCCATTCTCTGTGTCCAGACCCCTCCACACACGCTGCACACAGTGAAGTCAGCCCTCTAGGGCTCTGCAATGATCATACACCCTTACCCCACCACCTAGATACTTAAGAACTGCATGGGGAAACTGAGGCACCCGAACACTAATCAGAGGAAACATTAAGAACAGTCCCACTTCGTCACAGCAGGTTGGCCAGGGTCATGCCCCTCTGGCTGCGTTTGTGTGGCAGGGGGTCCGGCTGGGATCTGGGGGACAGGCTGGCTGGCCAGGGTCATGCCCCTCTGGCTGCGTTTGTGTGGCAGGGGGTCCGGCTGGAATCTGGGGGCAGGGAGGCTGGCTAGGGTCATGCCCCTCTGGCTGTGTGTGTGTGGCAGGGGGTCTGGCTGGGATCTGGGGGACAGGGGGGCTGGCCAGGGTCACGTCCTTCTGGCTGTGTGCGGGGTGGGGTGGGGTGGGGAGGGCTCTAGCTGGGATCTGGGTCATGCCATAATCCAGACAATGTTGCTCTCAATGCTTTATCCTCTGGAAGGTGGTAGCACAATGGGACCAGCTCCTGGGATCAGGGGCCGATTGGGCAAATAGCTCCCCAGATCCAGCCCCCGCCCCTGCCCCTGGAAGCTCCCGGTCTGGGATTGAGACGCTCGGCCGCAGCCGGGTACACAGAGAGGGTGGGGAGCTACCAGCACAGACAGTGTGAGCAAAGCAGCCCAGGGTGGAAGGTGGGATCTGACAGGGATCTGGTTCGGGCCTCATCAGCTAGAGTTTGGCTGAGATCTGGCTGGGATCCGGCCTGTGCCATGCGGCCTGGGATCTGGTCATGATCTAGGCTGTGTTGCATTGGCTGGGATCTGGTCTGTGCCATGTTGGCTGGGATCCGGCTGGGACTGGGTCTGTGCCATGCGGGCTTGCATCCGGCTGGGATCGGGTCTGTGCCATGCGGGCTTGGATCCGTCTGGGATCAGGTCTGTGCCATGAGGGCTGGGATCGGTCTGTGCCATGCGGGCTTGGATCCGGCTGGGATCAGGTCTGTGCCATGAGGGCTGGGAGCTGGTTTGTGCCACGTGGGCCAGGATCTGGGGGAGATCCAGTCTGTTTCCTGTCTGCGCTCTGCGTGCGGTGGACAAAGCCTCTTCTCCCCTGCTAACATCCCTCCCTTTCCTCCCCTCGCGCTGGGGCTCTCAGTCTCTCCTGGAAACCCACGACTCGGTGGCCTCCAAGAGCTACGAGACGCCCCCGCCCAGCCCCCTCCTGGACCCCATGTTCAACAACCAGCCGGTGCCGCCGGATGCCGTGCGCATGGTGGGGATCCGCAAGACGGCCGCCGAGCACCTGGTGAGCCTGGGGACGGGGTGGCTGGGGTGGGGGCTCCTGTCAGCCAGCCGGGTGCCCACGGGGAGCCTGGCAGGGGCATGCACGTCCCATGGGAAGGATGGTCCTGAGCATTACCAGCTCTCTAGTAACATGGGCTGCCCAGTGTGGGCCTGGCCCCCTTCCCCCCAGCTCTGTGTCTGCACAGAAGCCTGGGGAGGCCCCTCCGGGGTCCTGCCGCAGCCTCTTCCCCCACAGCGCCGGCTGCCATCCAGGCCTCCCTCCTCCCACCCTGGCAGGGCATCAGTGCCGCTCTATTAATCGGTCTGTCCCACGCTTGGCGAGGCGCCGGAGTTCAGCATCGCTGCAGGGAGGGGAAAGGGAATGTGTGTGTGTGTGTGGGGGGGGTGTGCATGTGTGGGAGGAGGCTGAGGGGATGTGTGTGTGTGTGGGGGGGGGGTGTGTCTATGTCGGGGAAACGGCGGGGTAGAGATGGGAGTGTGGGGGAGGAGGTGTGCGAGGATGGGGGTGTGTATGGGGGGAGGGATTTGGGGGGGTCTGAGTCTGAGGGGAGGAGGTGTGAGGATTGGGGTGTGTGGGGTTGGAGGGGCACTTCCCACAGGCTCCACCATCACACACAGTCCTTGCCTACCCCAGGGCCTGGGGGGCCAGCCCCCTTCTGCCCCCAGCTTTGTCTGGCTATGGGGTAACAAATGGCTGCGCTTATCCTCAGCTCATCAACCCCTGTCCCCCTCTCTCCCCATCTAGCTCACCCCTCTCTTTCCCTCCCTCTCCCTTCTTCTCTTTTCTCCTCCTCCTCACTCCCCTCTTCCCCTCGCCCTCTTTCACACCCTCCCATCTGGCTGGGGGGCTGGGCTGGGTGTTGCGGGGAGGCGATGGGGTGCAGCAATGGGCCCAGCTGCGGCTCCAGGGCTCCCCATGAGTCCCCGGGGGCCTGGCTATGGCAGGGCCGGGCGCTGAGGTGCATGCCCCCCCTCCACCCGCAGGGCGTGACCTTCCGGGTGGAGCGGGGCGAGCTGGTGGTCGCCCGCATCCTGCACGGCGGCATGATCGACCAGCAGGGCCTGCTGCACGTGGGCGACGTCATCAAGGAGGTGAACGGCAAGGAGGTGGGCAACGACCCCAAGGTGCTGCAGGAGATGCTGAAGAACGCCACCGGCAGCGTGGTCCTCAAGATCCTACCCAGTTACCAGGAGCCTCCCCCGCCCCGGCAGGTAGGGCCCCCGCTCGGTACGTGGGGGTGTGACGGTCCCCAGGGTGCGATCCGGACTGCCGAACTGAGATGCCTTTTACGCTGCTTTGCTGGTGAGCAGCCGCTCCTGGCCCGTGAACACACAGCCTCCAGCGTGTGACACGCTCCCAGCGAAACCCTGCAGAGTGCTACTAGCCAGCCACTCATGAATTACACCGCGGGAGAACACCAGGACATTGCCAGCCCCAGACTTTCCCCGAGAAACGTGCCCGGTCTCTACTGCCCGGCCCGCTCACCCTGCAGCACAAGCTCCCCGAAAGTCCGTCATTTCGTCAAAGGAAAATAATATGCGCGCATCTTGGTATCGTCCCCCAAAGACGCTGGTTTAGATTGAACAGTAAAACGAATTGATTAACTATAGAAAGGTGATTTTAAGTGATTGCAAGTCATGAGGCATAAGAGTCAGAAGGGGTTACAAAGGAAAATAAAGAGAGAACAATGCCAGCTCATGTCCAAGCTTAGCAAGTGAAAGGAGCTGAAAAGCAAAAGGGGTTTTTCTCACCCCAAGCTTACAGCAGAGGTGGTGCCAGCAGAGAGACGGTAAGAAGGGGAGTGAAGTCAGGTGTTTTCCTCCCTTTTCTGTAATTCAATTTCATGGGCTAGAAACGTCCTGGCTGAGTCACGGTGATGCAGCGTCTGCTGTGGACGTGACGTTTAAACCGTCCCGATGATTGAATGTGAATTTCTTGTTTCCCTCTCCCGCCCCCTGCTGGAGAATAGCTGCTTGAGTAGGTAATAGTGGGGGCCAATGTGGCTTTGTCTCTGAAAAACTGGTCTGGGCCTGCTTTTCTTTAACTTGGAGCATGTCAGAGTAACGTTATACAGTGGAATCTTATAACTTTCCCTTCAATATTGATACACACGTTTTACCGGCACAATAATGTTCAGCAGATTATGAGTTTTCAAATACCTCAGAAGGTATACTTTGGGGGAGGGATAGCTCAGTGGTTTGAGCATTGGCCGCTTAACCCAGGGTTGTGAGTTCAATTCTTGAGGGGGCCATTTAGGGACCAGGGCAAAAATTGGGGATTGGTCCTGCTTTGAGCAGGAGGTTGGGCTAGATGACCTCCTGAGGTCCTTTCCAACCCTGATATTCTATGATTCTTTGTACAACATTTATCATAGTCCTGTGAACATGGGGTGCAGGCTGTCACAGGGGTTTATGCACTGCACCCCCTCTTTACACCATGCCTGGGTACATGGGGCATATGCACCCCCTGTTTATAACCCCTCCTCGGGTGCCTGAGAAACATATGTTGCTGTACCTCATTATAAATCTCCATGTGCCTGCCCTTCTCTGCTCCTCCTCCCCACCCCGGTCTGCCCCCAGCCGGGGAGCGTTCCGCGAGAAGGCCAGCAGGGAATTTGTGCGCGGATGCCTTAGGCAGGGAGCTGGAAGAATTTAATAAGCAGCTGTCAGCTCAATGTGCTCAGCGGCGTAATAGAGCTGGACCAAATGTGCCCCGGGCGCCGGCCTCTCTTGCCTTCCCCAGCTGCAGGGGCCTCTGGATAAACCCAGGGGAGGGGCCGACAGCTGACTGGATTCTCCTTGGGGTGTGGGCTGTGCTCCGGGCTCTCTTTTGGGAATGGGGGTGCTCGGTGACACCCCAGCGGCAGCTCAGTGCTCATTGTTCTGGCCAGTTTGAGTCAAGACTTCCCATCACCTGCTCCCTCAGTCCCAGACCTCTCGGGCGCCGTGGGCTTGTGTCTGACTCCGGGAGGTGGGGTGGATAGGTGTGTAGGGGTGTGATTGCTAGTGTCTTTGCGGTGTGCTCCCCCTGGAACGTGTGTTTGCCTGTTGGCTCCCAAGTCTAGGTACACGCTGGCTATGTGACCCTGGGACAGCCCCACCCCCACTCTGTGCCTCAGTTTCACCATGTGTAACAGGGAGATGACGATACATATGCAGGCTTGTGTGTGTGGTGTATATAGGTAGGCCTGTGTGTGTAGTTGTGTAGTATAGATGTGGGCCTGTGCGTGTGCATGTGTGTAGTTGTGCAGTACATATGCAGGTGTATGTGTGTGTATCTGTGTATATATAGGGGGCCATGTGTGCAGCTGTGTGGTATAAATGTGGGCCATGTATGTGTGTGTGTGTGTTATACGAAGACCTGTGTGTGCAGCTGTGTGGTATATATGAAGGTGTGTATGTGAGTGTAATATGCAGGCCTGTATGTGGTTGTGTGTGAAGCTGTGGAGTATATATGAAGGCGTGTGTGTGTGTGTGTGTGTAATATGAAGGCCTGTATGTGGTTGTGTGTGTGTGTGTAGCTGTGGACTATATATGAAAGCGCCCGTGTGTTTCCCTGCTGGGTTGTTGCTGTCTGTCTGTCTGTGCTGGATTTGGTGGCAGATAATCCCATTCGTGGGAGGGGTGTGTATGTGTGTTTACCTCTCTAATCCCCCAGCTCTCCCCCCCAGGAGAATTTCCTTGTCCTAGCAGCTCTGATAACCCCTCCCTTCCTGGCCATGCTCCTGCCAGGGTGGGCGGTGGGCTCTGCACAAGGGCTGCCTGGGCCTGTGCCCGTGAGAGCCACAGGACCCGGGGGGTTGGCTGGTGTTGGGATCACACCCCACGGAAGGCAGTGACTGTGGGCAGATGGCAGCAAAGGCCGTGGTGCGAGCTCCCCGACAGGGGAGGGAGGGACAGAGCAGGGGTGTGCGTATGTGAGGCTAAATGCGGCCCCCCAAAAGAGGCAATTATAGGCGGGAGCTGTGGGAACTTGACCCCGAACTCCCACAGTTCACTGAGAGCGGGGATGGTACCCCACAAGCCGCTGCAAAAATTTCCCACAAGGCCGTGCACCAGGTAGTGGCGCCGGGGACACTGGGACCCCCACCCACAGTGCCATGCGGCTTTCCCCCATGCAGCGTGGCTCTGTGAGGACGCCCTGCACCGGCAAAGGCAGCCGGACGTGAACAGGCTCTGCCGAGGGAGTGCTAGAGGGTTTCCCGGGGTAGCTGTACCAGCCTGCCCTTTCCAGCAAAGCCCTTAGCGAACACGCTTTAACATCCTAGCGTAGCCTGGGCAAGTTGTGATTTACCGTGTGCTTGCCCATCCTCTCACCAGCCTAGGTGGCCGAGGCTGTGTATCTTGCCCAGGGCTTGTCGAGACCGCTTCCGTACCTGGTTCCCCGTTAACTCCAGGTAGTTAACGGGTCTGGGAAGACAAGTGCGGACTTTCCCCGCTTCTTAGATCCAGCCTGCACGGGTTCTGTCCCTTCCCTCCGGTACAGAATGGACGCTGGTTGCCGAGGTGAAACATCTGGGGAGTGGCAAGTCTGGCTTTCACAAATGTGGTCACAGAAGTAAAAAAAAAGACAAGCTCTCAGGGGCATGTGAGTGGAGCCTTGGGACACCTAGACCCGTGGTTCTCAACCCAGACCCAGACTACTCACTCAATGCCAGCATGGGGATGTCTGCCCGAGCTGGAAATGACAGGGCTTCTAGGATGATCTGAGGAATGGAAAACTTGTCTTATGAAAGGAGACTCAAGGAGCTTGGCTTGTTTAGCCTAACTAAAAGAAGGTTGAGGGGAGATATGATTGCTCTCTATAAATATATCAGAGGGATAAATACCGGAGAGGGAGAGGAATTATTTAAGCTCAGTACCAATGTGGACACAAGAACAAATGGATATAAACTGGCCACCAGGAAATTTAGACTAGAAATTAGACGAAGGTTTCTAACCATCAGAGGAGTGAAGTTTTGGAATAGCCTTCCAAGGGAAGCAGTGGGGGCAAAAGATCTATCTGGCTTTAAGATTAAACTCGATAAGTTTATGGAGGAGATGGTATGATGGGATAACATGGTTCTGGTAATTAAATATTCATGGTAAATAGGCCCAATGGCCTGTGATGGGATATTAGATGGGGTGGGATCCGAGTTACCCAGGAAAGAATTTTCTGTAGTATCTGGCTGGTGAATCTTGACCATATGCTCAGGGTTTAGCTGATCGCCATATTTGGGGTTGGGAAGGAATTTTCCTCCAGGGCAGATTGGAAGAGGCCCTGGAGGTTTTTCGCCTTCCTCTGTAGCATGGGGCATGGGTCACTTGCTGGAGGATTCTCTGCTCCTTGAAGTCTTTAAACTACAATTTGAGGACTTCAATAGCACAGATATAGGTGTGAGGTTTTTTGCAGGAGTGGTGGGTGAAATTCTGTGGCCTGCGTTGTGCAGGAGGTCAGACTAGATGATCATAATGGTCCCTTCTGACCTAAATATCTATGAATCTATGACACTCTGGCTGCAGGGTAGACGTTCCCTGATTGAGCCCGTGGGCTGGGTGGGGAAAGTGGGGCCCTGCTCGGCCCTGATTCATGCCCTGTGGGCTTTGCACTGGGCCAACTCCCGCCCCTGTGTCAGGAACTGCAGCCAGCTCTGCTCCGTGACCCCGGCTCTGCATCCGGCCCGGGGCTGCCCCAGGAACCGTGTGGCGTATGTCGGGGCAGGGCTGGGCCCAACGAAAGGGTTTCAGAGGCGCTGAGCACCCCCCGCTCCCATTACAGAGGCTGCATGGCCTCCCCTGGGTGGTGGCCGCAGGAAGTGCTATCCAGGTGGGGAAACTGAGGCACGTGCATGTGTGTCTGAGAGACTTGCTCAGAGTCACACCAGGAGTCGATGGCAGGGCTGGGAAGAGAGCCCAGCAGTTATTGGCACAGCGGGAGAGGAATTTAAGGGGTTGCTGAGGAAGGCATGGGGGGGGGCAATACATTTAAGGGGTGGGCAGAGCAGGCATGGCAGGGGGTTGAATTTGGGGTTGGCTGGGGCAGGCACTGTGTGTGGGGGGATGAATTTAAAGGGGGGCAGGCATGGTGGCAGGGGTGGGAGGGAAATTTAGGGGGATCATGGCCTGCTCCTCCAGGCAGCTCATCTTCCCTTCTAGTCTGTATCCAAGACATTATTCCAGCACTGCCTGCCGCACCCCGCTTCAGCCTGATCGCCTGGCCCCTGCCAGCCGATGCCAGGCAGGAACTGAACCGGGGTGGCGGGCATGGGGGCAGAGCTGCTCGATGCAGACAGGAGCACGTCACCTGCCTTTAACTCTCCGGACACATTTCTCCCCCGGTTGAGGACAAAGCAGAGCCTGTCAGCCGGCCCTGGCATCTGCTCTCTCGGCGCCATGCGCCGCGGGGCCCGGGCGCTGAAAGGAGCCTGGCAGCGAGGGGGCAAGCAGGAGATGAGCTGATCTCCAGTCCCTGTGTCTCCATTTGCTATTTGGAGCTTGTCTTGGCTTGTTACCTCACAGTGGGGAGCAGGGCAGAGTCCCCCTCCACCCCTGCTCCAGGCGGGGCTCACCCATGCCCACCCCTCTACCCCTACTCCTGATGGGGCTCTCCTGGCCCCTCTCCACATCTGCTCCCTGTGGGGGTCCCACCTCCACCCCAGATCCCAGCGGTGCTTCCCCGGCCCCCCCTCCACCGCTGCTCCTGGCGGGGCAAGCTCAGGGGTCAGTTACGCTCGGCTCTCGCCCTTCCAAGGTTTTCTTTGCAGCCATAACAGCGAGCCTGAGACTCTTTGTCATCAATAGCCGAGAGTCTGGGGAGCGATGGAGGGGCCTGGCTGTGCCCCCCCTGCAAGCACCCCATGGCCTGCACATGGGGAGTTGACGGAGGCTTTAGCTGGAGGTCTGTCCGAGTCATCTAGTTGGACTCTGTGGGCCAAAGGCGTTATTGTAACCCAGTCACTGCCCAGCATTAACCAGCGTCAGACTCGGGTCAGGTTTGGTGTCCAGAGACGTCAGCCGGTCAGTCCCAGGGCAAACCCCCACTGGAAACCCTAGGCACTCTTTATTAAAGGGACAGAAAAGACGCATTTGAAGAGTCAGGTTTGAAGGCAGGCTTTCGCTTTAACAGCCTCCAGTGTTCCCTTGAGCTGGGGAGAGTTTCCTAAGGACAAGGCCCCGGGTCTGACAGTCTCCGGGATGGTATTCAAGAGGGTGATTACCGTCCCGTCCGGGGCCAACAGGAGAAGTTGGTGGGGATGGGCTGGTTAAAATCCGCTCCCCTTTCTCAGAAGACAAGCCAAGACAAACACAAAAGGAGAGAGGAAAGCACAGCAAAGCTGGAAAACGCAGCTTCTCTCTATGGTGTCGACTTCACTTGCAACCTCGTGACTGGAGAAAAACAGGCCGGGCACGTGGTCTGGTCAGGCGCTCCGAGGCCTGGGACACTTGTAGCCACGTGGGGCTGTTTCAGGCATTGCTGTTAATGGCCTCTTTCTGATCTCAGCAGTCTTGGCCCGCTAAGCCAATCTCTTATGAGACAGAAGGCACCAGAGAGAGGAGAAAGAGACGGGAATCAATTTGTCTCCAAAATTCTTTCTTACACACCCCAAAAGGGAGCGGTGGGTGGAATATCTCACCCCCATCGTTATTGGGTCCACCAATTAGGCCTATTATCCGACACCCTGATTTTGGTTCATTGATTTCTGGCCCTCGGCTCCTCTTGTTCACCAGGCATAACTGTGACCCCTTCCTTGAGTGAGAGCCGGAGGCTGTTTTATCCGGTCTGTCAGTCTGTCTTGCATTCGGACCTGGCTCTTGACGATGGAGCTCACGAGCAGGGTCTGTTGTCTCGCCGCTCCCGGCTCCAGCCCGTGCCAGGGACCGGGGAAATGGGAATTCTCCGGGCTGGATTTCCAGGCGCTCGGCACTGCCCAGCGGGGCCTGGATTTTCCAAAGAGCTCGGCTCTCAGTTCAGGAACCGGGAGCCCCAGGACGGCAAGGGCCCCTCAGCTCTCCCTGCCTGGGGCTGACCCTGCGCTCTTCCCATAGGTGTTTGTGAAGTCCCACTTTGACTACGACCCGGCCAGTGATAACCTGATCCCCTGCAAGGAGGCAGGGTTAAAATTCACTGCCGGGGACCTGCTGCAGATTGTCAACCAGGACGACCCCAACTGGTGGCAGGTGAGGACAGCTGGGTGGCCCCGAATCCCCCACCGCTTGGCAGTACCCAGGCCTGGGTACTGCCTTGCACCCTGGGATGGCTTGGATGGGGGGGATGGGTTACTCAGGTGGGGAGGGTCATGCCACATGGAACACCCCCATCCCCAAGGCACGGAGTGGCTGGCGAGGGGACCCCATGGTCACTGCTGGTTTGGTCGATGGGATGGCGCTGAGGGCAGTCAGCGAGCTCAGCGGCAGCCGGCTGGAGGGTGAGGGTCTGGGGATGGGGGCTGTGGGTGGCCGCTGGGCAGGGGCCTCCTGGGGTGGGGGCTGTGAGTGGCCCCATAGTGGGGAGAGGCGCGTTTGGAGATGGGGCTGTGGTGATAGGGCTGTGGGTGGCCACAGGGTGTGGGGGGTATGGGGATGGGGCTGTGGGTGGCCTCAGGGTGTGTGTGGGGGTGTGGAGATGGGGCTGTGGGTGGCCCTGGGGTGGTGGTGGGGGGCTGTGGGGATGGGGCTGTGGGTGGCCCCGGGGTGGTGGTGGGGGGCTGTGGGGATGGGGCTGTGGGTGGCCCCGGGGTGGTGGTGGGGGGCTGTGGGAATGGGGTTGTGGGTGGCCCCGGGTGGTGGTGGGGGGCTGTGGGGATGGGGCTGTGGGTGGCCCCAGGGTGGGTGGGGGTGTGGGGATGGGGTGTGGGTGGCCGGGGTGGTGGTGGGGGGTGTGGGAATGGGGTTGTGGTGGCGTGGTGGGGGGGGCTGTGGGGATGGGGCTGTGGGTGGCCCCAGGGCGGGTGGGGGGCTGTGGTGATGGGGCTGTGAGGCGGCTTCAGGGCAGGTGCGGCTGTGGGGAAGGGGCTGTGGGTGGCCCCAGGGAGGTGGTGGTGGGGGGCTGTGGGTGGCCCCAGGGTGGTGGGGGGGCTGTGGGGATGGGGCTGTGGGTGGCCCCAGGGTGGTGGTGGTGGTGGGACTGTGGGTGGCCCCAGGGTGGTGGGGGGGCTGTGGGGATGGGGCTGTGGGTGGCCCCAGGGTGGTGGCACGGGGGCTGGGGGGATGGCACTGTGGGTCGTCCTTGGAGGGGGTTGGAAATGGGGGTGTGGGTGGCCCTAGGGCAGGGGTGCTCCAGAGGGTGGAGGCTGCAGGGGGCCCCTGGTGCGGGCCGTAAGGGGCCCCAGTATGCCAGGCTGGACGGGCGGTGGCTATGGGGACTCTGGCTGGCTCACCGGGCCTGGGTGCCGTTTCAGGCCTGCCACGTGGAGGGCGGCAGCGCCGGCCTCATCCCGAGCCAGCTGCTGGAGGAGAAGCGGAAGGCGTTTGTGAAGCGCGACCTCGAAGTCCCCCCCACATCTGGTAGGAGGCCCCCACGGATGCCCCAGGCTGGCCCCAGTGCACGCAGGGCCCTGCTCCCCATCTCAAGAGCGTGGCAGGGGAGCCCTGCTGCCCAAACCCTCCCTGCTCCCTACGGCCAGGGCCCTGAGCCAGGCTAGTGCCCAGCCTGGTGGCCAGTGCCCGCAGGAGGCTGATGCGCCCCCACAAACCCTGGCTGTGTCCTAGGGGTTTGCAGTGGCCCTGCCCTGGGGAATATCTCCAGCCAGGCCAGCACCCCGATCCCTGCTGGGGTTGCCTGTGGCAGCATCTGATTCCCGCTGGGCTTGCCCACGGCTGAATGAGTCCGTTCTGCTCTCGGCAGGTGCCCTGTGCGGCAGCATCAGTGGGAAGAAGAAGAAGAGGATGATGTACCTGACCACGAAAAATGCGGGTGAGTGCCCCAGGCTGCCCAGGCCCTGTGCAGGCATCCCCCTCCTCCTCCTCCTGGGCCGGCTCTTGCCCCGAATCCCAAAATTATCCTTCCCCCTTCCACCCCGTCCCCTGCGCCGGCGGGGCTGGGCACACGCTGCCCCGTCCCCATATCAGCGCTGACTGTTTTCTCCTCCCCATCCGGCCCAGAGTTTGACCGGCATGAGCTGCTGATCTACGAGGAGGTGGCCCGCATGCCCCCGTTCCGCAGGAAAACCCTGGTGCTGATCGGGGCCCAGGGCGTCGGGCGACGCAGCCTCAAGAACAAGCTGATCATGTCGGACCAGGCCCGCTACGGGACCACCATCCCGTGTGAGTAAAGACTCTGCCCCCTGGAGCCAGTGCTAACCCCGATGTGCACCCTGATCTCTTTTCCCTAATCTGACCCCTGCTCCAGAGGGGGCTGGGGCTGACTGTGCCACGTGGCCTGGCCTCACGTGACTCACGCCTCTGGGTCCTCTTAGCGTGCTCTGCGGCCAGCTGGTGTGGGCATCCCTGCCCCATGCACGGCCGGCCTTAGGGGATGCACATGGAGGTTTGGAATGAAGGCACCCGGAGCGCTGGGCAGGGCAGGCTGGGGGAGCCCTAGAGCTGTCAGGTCCTGGGGACGAAAAGTCCCTGCCCCGTCCTTCAGCACAGGGTCTGGAGAGCCAGCCAGGCAGACTGTGGAGAATCACCTGTGATCGTAATTGACCAGAGGTGAGGGCCAGGTAAGCCTGTTTGTGATGGAGCAGCACCCCCTGGTGAGGAAACGTCCACCCTGCACCTCATCTGCCTTCCATCCACGTCCCTGCGGAAGGGACGGGCTCTGTGGCAGGAGGGAGGGGTGGGGGGCAAGATACCTGCCCCGCCACAGGCAAGACCCGTTGCCTTGAACCCCCATGAGTCCTCCACTTGTGGAACGTGGGGTGTGTCTGCCCCTTGAATTTCAGGATCCTGCTGCTGCCAGATGGGCTGCAGACGACAAAGCACCCCGAGGGGGGTGCAGTGGGACGGGCTGCTCTAATCTCCCCATAAGCGTTTGGAAATCAAACGAGCTGTCCCTGAGATCACAAGGCAGGACTTGGCTTCCGACACTGATGCACCGTTCAGCCGGGTGGCAGCTGGATCCGCAGTTTCCCAAAGTTTGTGGGTGTTTGGGCTTGTGGTTCTGGCTCAGCCCAGTGTAGGGAGACGGGCCAGCCACACAGCAAGGGCTGGGGACTGGTTCCCAAGTTTTGGATGATGATTTTGATTCAAGCTGATCACCCAGCTTGATCCCACAGTTGAGGGGTGTCTGGACCTGGGCTTCTGGTTCTGCCCATTACAGGGAAGATCCCAGAGCTGGGCACAGGCTCTCTGGGTTCCCGGAGTTGGGGGGTGTTTGGGTCTGAGGTTCCGGTCCGGTCCCCTCGCCGGTCGTTCTGTAACTCACGCTCACCGTGTTATTCCTGTGCCCCTTGGCAGACACTTCGCGGAAGCCCAAGGATCACGAGAGGAACGGCCAGGTCTACTGCTTCATGTCGCGGGGGGAGATGGAGGCGGACATCAAGGCTGGCCGCTACCTGGAGCATGGGGAGTACGAGGGGAACCTCTACGGCACCAAGATTGACTCCATCCACGAGGTGGTGGAGTCCGGCAAGATGTGCATCCTGGATGTGAACCCGCAGGTTCGCGCTACGGGGACAGGCCCAGCTGGGAAGCCCCTAGTTATACTAGAGGGGAGGTTAGGGCTCTGGCTTGAAGCTCTGGAGGACAGCCACCTCTCGGGCAAAGCTGAGGCAAGCTTCCCCTGTACTCACCCCAGCCACCTGTCCCAGCCCTGACTGGGAGGGGAGCGCAGTCCAGGGCCCACTGAGTACCAGGCCTCTCTGCTGAGCCTGATCGCACACCTAGCGGGTGGTGCCCACAGGCAGGGGAAGGGCCCCTGCCCAAAAATGCAACTGATAAGACAAATGGTGTGAGGGGAAACTGAGGCACAGAGCAGGTCAATGACAGAGCCAGGAGCAGAACCCAGGTCTCCTGGTTCCCAGCCGTGTGGCCTACCCATTGGGAAACACTGTCTCCCCACGGCTATAGCTGGTAACACCTTTTGGTCGCTACCCGCCAGGGCTGGATCTGAGCAGTGGGAAAAAGCTCTGGGTCCCATTCCCAGCACCCCGGCTGCATGGTCCCCCTTCACGCCTGTCCCCTTTGGAAGCTCGCTGGTCCTAGGTCCGCACTGACAGCCTGGCTCTGTGTTACCCAGGCGGTGAAGGTGCTGAGAACGGCTGAATTCGTCCCCTACGTGGTCTTCATCGAAGCCCCGGACTACGAGACACTCCGAGCCATGAACAAGGCGGCGCTGGAGAGCGGTGTGGCCACCAAGCAGCTCACGGTGAGTCCACGCCAGCCCCGTACCCCCACAGAGTGCAACCAGAGCAGGGGGTCAAACCCCCTTTCCCCCACGCGGTGCCACGAGACATTGGGGTCATAGGGCCTTCCCTGATCACCTGGCCCATGCCATGTCCTTGGCCCACATGACCCAGGGTGGCTGAGCTGTGGCAGGCCCGGGTTCCACGGGGCGTGCCCCTGTATGCGCACGGCTCTGTCCACAAGTACATGTGCGACATGCACTGGGATCGGGGCTTGCTCCCCTGTTGGTTCTTCCTGGTGGCCTTAATGGCCCCTTTAGAGGCAGGCGCTCAGCGCTTCCCCATCCAGCGCCTCCCTGAACGCGGCCACAGTTTGGACTCTCCATCCGGAGGGGTCAGCAGGGAGATCTCCTCGCCAAGTGCACGGTGCGGTCCGTTCCCAGAGCCGCCCAGGAGAGCTGGGCTGTTCCCCCGACCCGCTCTGATGGCTAGCATGGCGGGTGTCCTATGCAGCGTCTGCTGCTGGCCTCCAGGGAATGGCAGGCTGGCCCCACCTGCTCCCACCAGCCAGGCTGCGGCGAAGCAGGGGTGGGCTGGCGTGGGCAACCCCTGGGGGAAGACGAAAGGAGGGCAGGGGGCCGTGGTGGGGATTCGCCAGCCCGTGCTGAGTGCAGTGCCGCAGCATGGTGCTAGAGGGCACTGTGCTGCCCCAGCTGCCAATCATTACATTTCCCATGGATGCTTTTTGCACGTGGGCCCCCTCGTGCCTGGCGCTGTCCCTGCCCCTAGAATCTTTCCGGGCTTATAATTGATCATATTCTGCCTCCTTCAGTCCTCCATCTGTCTTCAGCTGACTACGGGATCCGTCTTCATATCCTGTCCCAAAGAGCTGAGTAGCATTTCTGGGTGGCCGTTCCAACTGCGGCCATGCCCCTCCCCACAGGTAGCCGCATCTCCGCTCTAGGATCTCTGTATAAAAGGCTGCCACGCTCCACCCCAGAGGTAGATGCCTCTTAGTCCTGGGATCCCCGTACCGACAGCTTGCTGCGCTCCTCACCAAAGGTGGCTGCATCCCGGGGGTGGGGTGAAACGAGCCCTGCGTCGTTTGCACCTCTGCTTACCTTTGCAAAGCTCTTTTGGGACCCCCCCGGCCCCCTGGAGGCGTGTGCTCTTTACCCCTGTGCGCAAAGCTCTGGGGCAAGGCTAACGGGCAGCATCCGTGCTTGTGTCTGGGCAGGAGGCGGATCTGAAGCGGACGGTGGATGAGAGCTGCCGCATCCAGCGTGGCTACGGCCACTACTTCGACCTCAGCCTGGTCAACGACAACCTGGAGTGGACATTCCAGCAGCTGCAGGAGGCCCTGGAGAGGCTGCGCGCAGAGCCCCAGTGGGTCCCTGTCAGCTGGGTTTACTAGGACGCTGGGAGCGAAGGCCTCCCCACCCTGCCCCCACGCGGAGGGCACTGCCGACCCGCCTCCCCTCCGCCCTCCCTCCTGCACAAACCACGACGTCTCAAAGCCAAGGAACCCGGATCCCCTGCCTGCGTCCCAGGCCTGTCTTCGGGGGAGCTGCGGCCCGAGACAGGTCGCGTCCCCCCAAGGGCAGGCGCTAGCTGGAGCTGCCAGTAGGGCGTGGGGAGGCAGGGAACTGGGTGCTTATTGAACATCCCCTTCCCCCTCCCCCTGAGTTTTAACCAACTTTGCCAGAGTTAGAGAGTTTCTTGTAGACATTCCCGAGGGGCACCCCCAGTGGAGAACCCTTCTCTGCCCTGGACACGTGGCTGGGGGGCAGTGGCCCCCCATGTCCTTCCAGGAAGGGCTAGGGTGGCCATGGGGAGGGTTGAGAGAGCAGCCCAAGGCGGGGCCGTGCCCAGGACACTAAACACAGCCTCTTCAGTGCCCGGAGTGGGCACTGGGTCCCCCTTCAAGCCAGCCCCAGGGCTGTGCCCGGGGCCAGATCCCGGCAGCTGGCAGAGGGAGGTGGGCATGAGGAAGGCAGCGTGAAGTGTGCCGCAGGAGGCGCACAGAGCTGGGGATGCCAGCTGGCACCTCCCTCCATCCCTGCGCGTTCTCCCTTTTTCACCCAGCTGCCCGCTCCATGCCCAGGCTGCATCCCCCTTCCCGGTCCTGAGCTGCCCTCTCTGTGCAGAGGTGCCTGGCATCACCTCCAGCAGCTCCCTGGAGCAGCTTGGGGCATCTCTCCTCACTGGCCTAGGCCAGGGGAAATCCCAATAGGGACCAACCGGCTCAGGAACAGGGATGTTCCTGGCCATCTTTCTTCATCGTTCCCCACTGGGCCAGCGGGGTGGGGACGAGGGTGCAGCAGGGCGGGTTCGGAGCCCATCACCTCCCTGGGCTAGAGCATCAGATTCTCCCTTAACCCGTGTCTGGGGTTCGGGGCAGGAGGCGTGTCCACCAGGGAAATGAGCTTGGTGGGCTCAGTGGGCTTCTTGGATCAACCGTAGAGACTAACTCACTAATTCCCCACCGTGAATCCACAGCTGCTCCCCAGCAAAGACTGATGAGTTATTTCAGGGCTGGCTGGCTGCAGGGGCAGAATTTCCGAGGAAATTACTGGCCAGTTTGGTGCCGCGGGAGAGATCAGTCCTGTCCCAGGACGACAGGCGCACCTTAGCGAGCCCAGTCCAAAAATCGGCATGGTTCCGATGCCCTACCTGAAAGAGACGAAGCCACCACATGCCCTGCCTCACCTGCTCCCACAGAAAACCCATGATGGATTCGTCCGGAGTGGGCCACCGCTCTGGATGACCCAGAGCAGAAGGAATCTTCTGGGGAGATCTGCACCAAGCAAATGCACAGCTATCTCACTGCCGAAAATTCAGCTCAGTTTACAGACCCATCCCCCGCCTTCTGGCTCCGAACCGGATAGATTATTCCCCCCTCCCAATTTGAACTTTTGCAAATGTCCCAGCGATGGTCAGAAAAGCTGCCCGACTTCCCCCCCAGCTTAGAGTCTGTGATTGTGGTGGTATTGAAGGGGAATTGCGGCACCTCTGGAAATCAATAGCTTTAAGGTCCAAATGGTTGAAGGAGGCACCCTTGAGGAGGGTCTTGTTACATCCCTGGTGTAGGACACAGGACATCTGGTGTAGGACACAGGACATCTTGATTCCCTGCTCTGCTCCAGCCTCCTGGGCAAGTCACTTAATTGCTCAGTGCCTCAGTTTCCCCACCTGTCCAATAAGGTTAAATTAATAATACCCCACACTGAGAATACATCTGTTATTGTAGGTGAGGCCCTCAGATACTTTGGGGATGTGGTGGAAGCTAGAGAGTTAAGTAACATAAATACTTTTGAGGCTCTGGACCACAGACCTCAACTGTAGGTTTTAGGATTTATAAAGTGACAGCAAAATAAAATAAAAACCATAATGATTGGATAGGTGGAACCAGCCAGGGGCATCACTAGATATCAGGTAAGGGGGGTAATTGCCACCGCCAGACCTCGGTTCGCCCACCCCAACTTTTCATAGGTCTATCGGCTCCACTTTTTGCCTCCTGCCCCAGCTTTGCAGGATAGAAGTGATCACATATAATGTTCTATATGCTAATGCAACTTTGCCCCGCTCCTGGAATTTTTCTGAAATGGTGCCTCTGGAGACAGTCAGCAAAATCCAGGTCCGGGGGGATCCTCAAAACATGGGGCCAGCCCGCTCTGCGGTTTAGGGTCATACCTGTTGCTCAAAAACCATTAGAACAAAGATCAGTAAGAGTAGGAGGATTGTGTGTGGACAGTGGACAGCCCGCAAACAAGCTGCCTGCCTGGGTGCGAGAGCCGAGGCGGGAAGGACAGGTGCCTTCTGATCTGATCACCAGACAGGTTTGTTAGTAACCCGGTGGGGTGGGGGGTATTTATTTGTTTTCTTGGTAATAACTTTTGTCTTGCGTATTTCTTTAGCCGAATCCACACGCAGACTTAACTGACCCCATCGAATATTAAAGCTAGCTGGTCCTGCCCTCCTCTTATTTACCTGCCACAGGCGATTTTAGCCCCAGGCCTCAGTTTCCCCCTGCGAGAATGGTGACGAAGTTGCCCTCCTTGGTCAAGCGCTTTGAGATCGACCGGTGCAAAGCTCTAGATAACAGCTGACTAGTACATCTCCGCAGTCCCTGGGAACTGCATGACATCGTTATAATTTCTGAAGCCATTAGAGGCCTCAGCTGAGATCAGGGCCCTGTTGTGGTAGGTGCTGTACATACACCGAGAGTCCCTGCCCTGATGGGCTTCCAGTCTCAAAACACAAATGGTAGGAGGGGAAACTGAGGCACAAAGGGGTGGGGAAGTGACTTGCCCAAGGTGACTCAGGGAGTGCCGGGAATAGAATCTCTGGATACCTGGTCCAGTGGGCGATGCTGTCTCCTCTTGGCTTCAGTGGCGGCTGGGTCTTCTGACTCCCATCCACGGGGCCCCTGCCCACAAGTCCTTCCCTCCGCTCTGGAGTGCAGATTTCTGTGTGTCAACAACTACCTCAGGCCTCAGCTGCAGCAGGGCAAAGGCAGAGCCCTGGCCTTCGCTCGGGCAGGTAACCGAAGAAGGAGCTGTTTGCAGTTGTTTCCAAACGGCTTTATTTGCTGAGTTTTTTATCTTAAGGCAAAACTCCGTCTCCTGTTTCTAACCGGCCTGGCTGCAGTGTGCCCCTGGGAACCCAGACCCCTGGCATGCACAGGCCCCATGGCCGCCGGTGGATCTGGGACGCTTCCAGTTTTGGGTGCCTGACTTGGGATGACTGGGGCCTGGTTTCCACAGGTCTGGAGCAGTCATTGCTGTTGGTGTTGGTTCTGACCTCCCCCTCCTCCCACAATGTGTCTGTGGCCCCCATTATTCTGGTGTCAGAGACCCCACAAACTTACTGTATTTATCGCAAGTCAGGCACCCCAAATTTGGGGCCCCTTGTAAAAATTTGGGCCTTAAGTTCTTGTTTCTCAAATGGCCGGAGTTCCCCTTTAAAAGCAACTGTGGCTAGGGTCTCCCCTGCTGGTTGTCACTGTGTGTGTGGGGGGGGGGGGGCAGAGGGAGCCAGGGAGAGACACCCATTGGGAAGGGGTGATACCCCCCCAAATTCCAATGCAGATCCCCTTTGGGAGGGCGCTCTCCAAACTGTCCCTACTTCGGCTCAACGGACCGCCCTTCCTTACTATTAAAATGCCACCCCCCTGAGCTGCACCCCCCCTTTCTGTTCCCACCTTCACTGGGGGAGTGACCCCCAGGTCTCTTGCCAAGAACCCGTTCCACAGGGTGTATTTCCGTTGTAAGATAATAGCTATCACACAGAGGAGAGGATTAATGTCCCTTGTTTTAAAAAATGCTATTTATGTAAAGAAGAGAAACTGGCCGTATCCCTGTCTGTCGGGCAAAGCGGGGTAATGCAGGCATTGATCAAAGGTAATGGCCCAGCGACAGGAAGGTGTTGGCCTCCCATTGCTCTGTGGGCCTGGCAGTAGAACGCCAGGCTCTGAAATCAGAGCGTTTTGGGGGGGTTATTTTTGGTTGGTTTTTAATGCTGGATTTACAGCCTGGCAGTTAGATTACCCAAAGGACTCAGCACCCAGCGGGAACCTGGCCCGCTGGGCAATTTGGTGGATTTGGCGCTTGGTGATCTGGGCCCAGAAGGTTCTGGTTTGGGGTGAATCAGTGCGACTTTTTGCCCCGGGGTCTGTTTTGCGTCTGTAGGTGACTGTGAGGTTGTGTGAGAGAATGGGGCTGTGTGGGGTGGGGTGTAAGTTTGTTTCCCTGTGTCTGTATGCAGGTGTGTGTGTGTGTGTGTTTGTCCCTATGAGTTTATGTCTCTGTGTCTGTACACACGGGGGTGTGTTTGTGTATGTGCATGTGTGCCTGTCAAACAATTGCCAATTCTTGCAATTTTATCACACGTTTCACACTGTTTGTTTATTAGTCAAATCCCCAGCTCCTGGAGTCAGGTGATTCTATGAGACTCTTAGCTTTTTTTAAAGTAAGTTTCTATCCCTCCTTGTTCACGGGGAAACTCTTGCAAACACAACCCTGAAAGGTGCCGACACCTTTTGACAACTAAAAATGATTATTTTTAAAGTCTCATGACTTTAACGCCAATCTCCTCTCTTTTCGGGGTTGGCCTGACGATTTTTTAACATTTGAGGTTGGCAACACTGATGCCCTCTCCTCCCGCTCCGTGTGTGCGCATGCGTGATGCATGTGTGCATGCAAATGGGCGCTGATGCGTGTGAACGTAGCTTCTGATGACGACTCACTCCATGTTAATGTTACATTTGCTTTGTGGGGCTTAGCCAGGGATGGTGACTGACAGTTTTTCCCCTAACCCCTTTTCTGTCCCATGCTCTGTTTCCTATTGAAGGGTGGGATTAACTGGATCTAAAGACGATGTACATATTTCCTTCTGGATGTGTCACTAACATACACTATAGCGAATGATCCTGCACTGCCCCCATCAGCAAGAGAAATGGACGTGTTTGATCTCTGATTTCCACCGGTCTCTCCTAGTCCACTCCCGGCTCTGAGCTTCTCCATTAGTCTTCTTGAAACACACGCGTTTTTAATGGTTCCATGTAAATACTGAGCAACAGCGAGCTGGAAAAGGTTTTTTCCCCCCTTCTCTTTGTTTTTGGTGAATGGTGATAGTTCCCCTTCCCCTCCCTGGAATTGTCTATTTCTTAGACTTGTGTTTATTAGAGAGCTCAACGGTGTGATGTCCGTGTCGGGTCGGTGTTGCGTGTTAGAAGCCGGCTAATTTGGATTGTTTGTGCCCTGTTTACACCACGCTGCCCTCTATTCGTTGGAGCTGCCATGTTTTATGGTGGAATCTCTCCCTTTTTTTGTTTCTGAACCTGGGGGGATCCTGCTAGCCCCCCCGCCGCCTGGTCACCTCTGTGTGTATGTGCGCGCCCGGTGATCCTGACCCAAGGGGCGTGTGACGATTCTGGACCAGTGCTTGGCCAGGCTGTGATGCAGGGGCAAGACACCCCCCACTTTGCCAGGCAGCCTCCTTTTGCAGCAGGACCCACGAACCCTCCCACCAAGCAGGTCGAGGGCCTGATCCTGGGAGCTGCTGAGCTGCAGGTGGGAGGCGCTTGCCCCTCCATAGGCTTGAGGGGGGTTGAGGATGCTTGGGGCCTTAGCCTCCGGCAGCATTGGTTTGAAATGCCCCTTCTGGTGGGGGTGCCATGCCAAGATGGCTCTGGCTGATGGCTGGTTTGGTATGGGAGGGGGGTGACCAGTCAATGAGGCAGATGACATCAGGCCTGATTGCTGCCCCGAAAGGACCATTTTCAGGGCTATGGGGTGAGGTCAGGAGGGGAAGTCACATAGGTGCCCCCCCACCCCCCCCGGCCCCTCAGTGCTTCCAGCCCAGGCAGGCTGAGGGCCCTGGCCTGGGTGTAGATGACCTTGTGAGACCGTTTCTCTCCGGGGTGGGCATGGCCCCATGGAGCTTTCTGCCAGGTTGTGCCTAGTGGAGAGGCCGGGCACCACTCGTTCCCTGTAGCCGGGGGCTGTGATGGGCTTTGCCAGCAGTGCCATTTTACACCAGGGGAGGAGCTGGCCCCTAATTTAAAACGTTAAGTCCCCCCTGGCCTCCCCTGTCTGTCGGTCCCTTCTCGTCCGATTGAACGAATGACAGTGACTTTTTTGTACTGACTCTTTTCTATTCCTAGTTACTTTCTGAGCTGGGTTGCTAGACGCTCAGAGCCCTGATGCTGTACATTTCTTTTATTTCTCGGTCGTGCGAGCTGATCCCATGTTCCTGCCGGTGAATGACTCCTTTTGTTACTTTTCAGTTACTTTTATTAAATTTAAAGCAAAAAAAAAAAAAAAAAAATCCCTCACGCATGCTGGCTGTGTTGTTTTCATCTTGTCCTCCTTGGCGCAGGCATTTCAGAGGCATCCTCCAAGGAAGCCAAGTGAGTTACACTGTTGTAAAATGGGTGTGAGAGGAGAATTGGGCATTCTGTGCCTCAGTTTCCCCATCTGCATTAACAATACGGGCTGATCTCCTGGGGAGGTGAGACTGGAAAGGGTTCAAATGAATATTCGTGTCTGTAAAAGGCCTGGAGATCTACAGCGGGAAGGCGCTGGAGAGGGGCAGGTTGTTAGTACAGGGGTCCATGTGCTAGTGAATACCTGATGAGCGGGCATATGTCTGGAAGAGTGTGTGTTTGCCGTTGAGTGGAATTGAATGAATCAAGGTGTGCGTGCGTGTGTGTGTGTGTGTGTCACTGTATCTGAAGGAGCAAAGGGGTGTGTGTGTGTGGGGGGGGGGTCAGTCCGTCTTCGGGGCGGCGTGCATAAGTTTGTCTGGAGCAGTGCATCAAAGTACCTGGGAGCAGTGGATCCGTGAGCGCCTCCACTTCGTTTGCCCGGCTGTTGCAGAGCAAGGCCTGGCATCCCCAGGCAGCGCTGAGCAAAGAGTTAACAGCCCTTGGCTTATCTGCTGGGACTGAGGCCAAGCCGGCTCCCTGCCCACCTGCTACTCCCACCCCACCCCAGCCCACGGAGACTCCAGCCGGCCTCCTTTGCTCGGGATTTGTGCTGAGCTCTGCAGCCTGCAGCAATGTGGCCGGTGCTTGTCCTCTGCCTCTGCCTGCTGGCCTTGGGGCTGCTGGGGGCCCGGCACTTCAGCCCGGCGGGGAACCCCTTTGCCGGGGGGCCCCTGCAGCCCCCCAGGCCGCTGGTCACGGATCAGAAAGTCAGGGACAAGGTCCTGAAGCAGGGTAAGTGCAGCGCGTGAGCCAGGGAGCGTGCCAAAGGCCGGCGGGGGGAGAGCGTGAGCTCTAAGCCGCACTTGGGCGGCTTCGACACTGTCCCACGGGCGCCTGTCCCTTGTCACCTTTTGGCTGGCAGAAGGGGCGCGCATCCTCGAACTTCCCCCGGGGGGGTCGCTCACTCCCTGCCCCTCCCGGTTGTGACCCTCTCCTGTTTCCCGATGGCTGAGGCACCTGGCACCTGCCAGCCCCTGGCCGGGTATAGCCGCGATCACGCCGTCCGCTGAGGTTTCCTGTGGGCAGTTTTGACGGCCTCTCTGATCATTCCGCCGCGTTTGTGCTTTCTGGTGTCTACGGGGGGATTAGTTTAGGGATACCCTGAACTCACGCTCTGGGTGAGAGCTGCCACGGCAGTTGCTAGCTGTCCGATTGCTTGAGTGTCCCGCTCCATCTGAGAAGCGGGTGAATTTAGCTGTGTCCAATTATGCTCTTTCACAGCGGAGGGCGGTTGTCAGTTTCTCCTTCCTCCACAGCAGGCGGCATGGCCTTTCTTTGCAGTACCCTCGGATGCTCTTGATTTTTGCCGGTGCTGCGCTTCCAAGCTACAGGGCTTTTTCCAACCAAAGTCAGCGACATCTAAATCCCATAAATACCGTTTTAGGTCAGCTCTGATATGCTGGTCCAAATCGACTGACTTTGAACCACTCCAGAGGGGTATTTTAGTGCAGACTCCGCTTTCTCTGATGCAAAGATAATTGTTGTGGATCAGGATCCATTCCACTCTCCAGGAAATCCAGTGGTGGCCCTCGCTGAGTTCTTGAACTGCCTTTGTTAATGTTTGATAGAGATGGGTGGCACTTTTGTCAGAGTAATATGTCCCTAGGGTCTGCCTTAGGCCATGTCTACACTACACTGGTTGGTTGGTGTAGCTGTGTCGGTCAGGGGTGTGATAAAACCACGTGCGGTGCCGGCAAAACCCCGGTGTAGATGCAGCTACGTCAGCGGAAGAGTGCGTCTGTGGGCATCGCTAATGTGTCGTCTGGGGAAGTGGGTGGCTATGCTGGCAGAAGAAACTCCTTCTGGTGGCATGTGCTGGGTCTAAAGTGGGGCCCCTGCTGGCATAACTATACCAGCAAAGCATCGCAGTGTAGACCCGGCTGTTTGGGCAGTGGGAGGTCGCTCTGACTCCGTACCACTTCGGAGTTTTAGTCCTGGGCTGAGTGCATGGCTCCCACCTTCTAGAGCTGCTGGCCCGGGATAATCCCTCTTTAATCCACTGTCACTTTGGTTGCCAGATGTCTGGAACTGAACCTGGCCCGTTGCACGGAATCACCAGTCTGGTGCGAGTCCGCCCAGGCGGGGTCCTGGGGAAGCCAGAGGGTCCTGCCCCCAAACTCCGCAGTCAGATGTGACTCTCAGCCAGCCAGTAAAACAGAAGGTTTATTAGACGACAGGAACTTGGTCTAAAATAGAGCTTGTAGGTGCAGAGAACAGGACCCCTCAGCTGGGTCCATTTTAGGGGGCAGTGAGCCAGACAACCACGTCTGCCCTTCACTCCATGTCTCCAGCCAGCCCCAAACTGACCCCGCTCCAGCCCCTCCTCCTCGGGGCTTTGTCCCTTTCCCCGGGCCAGGACCTGATTCCTTTGTTCTCCAGCCCTTTAGCTCTCACCTTGCAGGGGGGAAGGGTGCAGGCCATCAGTTGCCAGGAAACAGGGTGTCGGCCATTCTCTGTGTCCAGACCCCTCCACACACACTGCACACAGTGAAGTCAGCCCTCTAGGGCTCTGCAATGATCATACACCCTTACCCCACCACCTAGATACTTAAGAACTGCATAGGGGAAACTGAGGCACCCCCACAATATTCAGAGGAAACATTAAGAATAGTCCCGCTTTGTCACACTGAACCTGGCCCGTTGCACGGAATCACCAGTCTGGTGCGTAGTTCTGAAATCTTTCCTAAACACGGATGGCAGGTTCTGCTGGATCCGAGGCTGTGTTCCTTTATGCCCCTCACGTTCAATGGTTCAGTTTTCATCTGCTCTGAATCACTCCCGTCTTCTGTCGCTGTTGCGTTACCTGCTCCATCTTCCGACAAGCTAAGAAAGCGTCTTTCCGTTCCTGCACGGGGAGTTTTCCCCCCTGGTTAGCGTTTTCTGAATCAGACCCTGAATTTGATCATTGAGATGGAGCAACAGGGACAGAACCTCACCCCCCACTCACCTAACACGTCACTTTTCTAAATGCCTCAGGAGCCACCCGATCAAACCTCCGTGGCCCGTGGGCCTCATATTTGTTGGAACGGCCTGTGCGACGCCCAGCCGCTCCCTCAGAGTCAGGAGATCCCGGGAGAATTTGCAAGCTCCATTTTGCAGCCTGGGGCCCAGAACAAATATCCACGTTTGTCACCCCCCTGAGTCACAAGACCCAGCTTTGCAAGGAGAACTTTGTTTCCGCGGGGAAGCGTTTGTCCTTAGGAGCTTCTTGCAGGCGGAGACCCACCCCCTAGTGCCCTGGCCACCTTTTCTGCCAGCAGTCCCCCCTCTGCCTGCTTCAGACCCCCTTCCCCGGGCCCCCACCCTGTCTTTTCTTAAAGGGGCCGCTCCCATTTCTCTTCATATCAAATTTGTGTGGCTAATAACAGGAAACAAATATTCAAAGTTATTAGCAAATCTAGACAATAGGAACCTGCTTCTAAAACACCTCACGCGAGTGCTGTTCTGGCCTGATCACATGGGGGGAGAGGGGGACCGTTTCTCGCATCGCACCCCTGCTCTCTGGGATGCTACAGTCATTGCTCAGAGTCGGCCTCTGGTGGGCGCAGTCTCAGCCCAGGAGGGACTGTCCCTCTGTATGTGGGGCAACACTGTCTCCACCCACTCGCCCTGGTCGTGTGTGGGACCGGCAAGGCCTGGGTGGGCGCCAAAGAAAGAAGCCAGAACCAAAAAGTGGTCCCTGCTCCAAAGAGCTCACAAAGCGGGGGACTAGCAATCAGGACTCCTGGGTTCCATTCCCTGCTGCACCGCTCTGTGACCTCGGGCAAGTCACTCCCCCTCGCTGTGCCTCAGTTTCCCTCCAGAGCGGGTGTTTGTTTGAATGGATTCACTGCTCCCACAGGTAAAATTCGGTGAGTCCCCCCGGGGTGAAAGGTCAGTATTACTCAGGTAACCGACCCTGAAGACCCGCTCCCCAGAGCCAGACGCTTCGTTTGAAACCTGCCCAGCCATGGAAGCAGGAGCTGGCCCAGGACACCAGATTGGCATGGGGATGTCCGCCGATGTCCCCTAAGCCTGGCGCAAGGCAGCCAAGATGAGAGAAGGGGCAGCTCACACCCAGGCCCTGGTCTCAGCTGGGCCGCATCACTTCTCCAAGACATGGACTAATTTGAGGGCCGACAGTCTCCCCGCTCATGCCCCGCGGTGTCTGGGTGAACAGCCGGTCCGGCCAGTCCTGCGGGAGCCCCATGCTCACGCCCTGCCCCTGAGTCCCGTTTCATTTTGAATCTTTGTTTCCATCTGCACCTTCCTCCCTCCCCACCCCCCCGGTGGCTTTGACTCAGCCCGGCCACCGATTTCGTCGTTATCCAGTGGCACGATAATCCCCGTGGTCCGGGGCAGATGGAAGAAGCCCTTCTGGGCCCGTGTTTTTAGATTTAATCTGTGTCTATTCTGGTCTGCGGAGGCTGGGCTTTTTTTTTTTATCTCCCTCCGCTCCCGTGCTGGAGTTGTGTGTTCGGGCTGGCTGGCTGGCTTGGGGCCTCCTCCTGTTTAAGAATCAGACCCAGACAGAGAGGGAGAGAGGCCACGCCGAGGGTCCTTCCAGCCGCTCTGGCAATGCAAGGGGGCCTGGGTGTCAATGAGAATCAAATCCTCTCTCTTTGGGTCGGTCCGGGGCTTGTGTCCGGTGTGGGGGTTCCCTGGCTAGCGGGGGGGGGGTCCACATCAGCTCTTGCCTGGGGGTGAAGACCCGTCCTTGGGGGAGGCAGGAGTTCACCCAGGAACAAGTCCAGGGGCAGCAGGTTTGTATAATTTTTGCTGGTGCCCAGAACGGGTCCAAGTCGTCCCCCCACCCCCCAGCCTTGTAAACCGATATATATTTTTCAAAATAATGTAAAAATGGACTGGAAACAGTAAGTGTTTAACAGTTTCCCTGTACTGCACAATGTGGGGGGAGTGTGGGGGGATGAGGGCTCTGGGGTGGGGCTGGAGATGAGGGGTGTGGGAGGGGGCTCAGGGCTAGGGCAGAGGGTTGGGGTGCGGGGCGGGGGGACGAGGGCTGCGGGGTGGGGCCGGAGATGAGGGGTTCGGAGAGCAGGAGGGGGCTCAGGGTGGGGCAGAGGGCTGGGGTGAGGGCTCTGGCTGGGGGGGGCAGGCTCTGGGGATGAGGAGTTTGGGGTGCCAGGCCCTGAATATTTCTGGAGCCCAGGGCCCATACAACTTGCCACCCCTGAACAAGCCCTCTGTTTGGTGCCAGTCAGCCAGTCCAGTCTCTTTATGATGCTGCTCTCTGGATCTCTGCCCAGCCCAGAGCTGGCGTTCAGCCTTCTGGGTCTCCGCAGCAGCCCCGGAGATCGGCCGTGGGGCACTGGGGTGGGGTTTCCTGCCATCTGGCTGCTCAATCCTCTGACAGCTAGGACCACCGAGACAGAGTGGAGTGGGGATTCACACCTGCCCCTGGGCTTTCTGGCTGTCTCTCCCTCTCTCTCCAGGTGGCTGCCTATCCTGCCGGAGCAAATAACCCCTGGGTTAGGCCTGAAACTGGAGTGAAGCTGTTTGCTAAAGCAAAATCCAGCCGTAGCTTTGTCCCCCAGCTCAGGATTGGGGTGGGGCGGGGGCGCGAGCAGGCGCTTGCCAGGGAATTTAGGTGGTGTCATGGAGTCCCCGGGCGCTGCTCTGGACCTGCTCCCTACGAAGCCAGACAGGATTCTGGGGAAGTCTCCTCTCTGGGAGCAGCCTGTCTGCAGGACACACAGTGCACCCGGCTCCACCTTCCTGGGTCTGACCTCGGAGCATTCAGCATCCTCTGCCCCTCTGCCCACAGCAAGTCTGCCCAGGCGGGGTCCTGGGGAAGCCAGAGGGTCCTGCCCCCCAACTCCGCAGTCAGACGTGACTCTCAGCCCGCCGGTTTATTAGACGACAGGAACATGGTCTAAAACAGAGCTTGTAGGTGCAGAGAACAGGACCCCTCAGCTGGGTCCATTTTGGGGGGCAGCGAGCCAGACAACCATGTCTGCCCTTCACTCCTTGTCCCCAGCCAGCCCCAAACTGAAACTCTCTCCAGCCCCCTCCTCCTCTGGGCTTTGTCCCTTTCCCACCTGATTCCTTTGTTCTCCAACCCTTTAGCTCTCACCTTGCAGGGGGGAAGGGCCAGGCCATCAGGTGCCAGGAAACAGGGTGTCGGCCATTCTCTGTGTCCAGACCCTTGCACACACCTGCCCTCTAGGGCTCTGCAATGATCAGATACCTTTACCCCACCACCTAGATACTTAAGAACCGCATAGGGGAAACTGAGGCACCCCCACACTATTCAGAGGAAACATTAAGAACAGTCCTGCTTCGTCACAGGTGGTTCCCCAGCAGCTGCTGGGCCTCGTCTCTTGGGGCTCGGTTCTGCACCCCAGGACTCCCCGTTGGGAGCCCTTTGCCTGCATCCCCTGGCGATGGGACCGGCCTCCCCACATTCCCAGCAGCTGCATTGTTGAGCCATCTTGGTCAGACAGGTCACTGGCCCTTACGGTGACCAGATGTCCGGAGTTTATAGGGACAGTCCCGATTTTGGGGTCTTTTTCTTACATAGGCTTCTATTACCGCCCCCCCCTCCCGATTTTTCACACTTGCTGTCCGGTCACCCTACTGGCCCTCCACCCGGCCCTTCCGCGCTGCTGGATTCGCCGCAGGCCTCTGGGCAGCTTCTGCACGTGCATCTCCATCTGCTCAGCCATGTGGCTGGATGTGTCGGCCCATGGTCCCCTTGGGCCAGGTCCTGGGCGGGAGAGAAGGAGGGGAGTGACCGCGTCTCGGCAGCTGGGCTGCTTGTCGCCAGGCTGCTCCTGTCTCTGGAGGGGTGGGGTAGTCTTGATCCGTCCCGGGCCAGGCCCCGCGTGTCCGAGGTCGGTAGCTGATGCAGGTGGCCGCCCAGCCCTGGGTTGCTTTGGGCCTTCGTGACCCAGTCGTCAGGGCTGCCTTCTCCTTAAGGGCCCTGCTGTGGGTGTGGGGCCTGTAGCGGGAGCCACCCGCTCGGCGGACCGTAGAATGAGCCGGTGGCTGCTGGCAGACTCCCCAAGCCTCTCCCTGGATTGCTGGGGCCGAGAGCAGCACCCCCTCATGCCCTGGGCGGCACTCGGGGACCCACACACCTGTCCCAGTCGCTGCAAAATGTTTTCCACTCCACCCTTTTGTTCTGCTGGCCACCCACCTGCTTCGTTTGGGGCAGCTCCCCCCTAGCTGGCGCAGCAAGCCCCAGCTCTCTGCTACTCCGGGAGGCTGTCTACTCGGAGCCCCGCTCGGAAAGCTGCCAGGGAGCCCCTATGTGGTATCCTATAGTCACTGGGGTGGTTGAGGCTGCCCTTTGTTGGGGTAGCTGGTCTGACATGGTCCCTGCTGAACCGTCCCCAAATCTCATTTGTGACACCCACTGGAGGTCCCCGGCGTCAGCAGATGGGCTCCGCCGTCCCCGCCTAAGCCCCAACCCCCTTTCGGGGAGATCAAGGGTTAATCTCAGGGTCAGAGCCCACCCTTCCCACTAGGGCAATCCTTTTACCGTAGCCCCAGCCAGCCCCAAGGGAGAAACCCCAGCGCGAGAGACTTAGTGAAAGTTACGCAGGTACCTGCCCCCCTCCAGTGCAAGGTAGTGAATTGCTCAGCACTAGATGGACATGCCTGTCCCCTGCCCCCCCCCACCCCCCTGCTTCCCAGACCCCTGCAGCCATTCACACCAGGGCAGGGTGGGCCTGAGGCCCTACGGCTCAGATTCCCTGGTAGGAATGACCCCCCCGAGGCGCAGGGGCCGTGCTTCCTGGGTGTCTGGGGTGAGATGCCGCAGCGGGGCCAGGAGAAGGAGACAGACGGTTTCGGGCTGGGTGGCAGTGACCCCACGTTCCCCCCAGCATAGGGCCGTGGCGTGGGTCGCCCTGCCCGCTCCCCCGGGATCCTGCAGGCTCTGGTGTTGTTAACCCTTTGCCCTCCCTTGCCAGGTTTCGCCCTGGAGAAGGTGCCACCCGACCTGGACGCCATCGTGATCGGCAGCGGGATCGGAGGCCTGGCCGTGGCGGCTGCCTTGGCAAAGGCCGGCAAGCGGGTCCTGGTGCTGGAGCAGCACGACCAGGCGGGGGGATGCTGCCACACCTTCCAGGAGAAGGGCTTTGAGTTTGATGTGGGTAAGCGGTGGGAGGAGCCCGCTGGATGCTCGCGGGCGAGGACGTCAAGGGAGATGCTGGATTTCTTGGGGCCGGGCCCGGCCTGTGGGACCCCCCCAGCTTCTTGCCTGGGCAGAGGGCAGTTCCCCCGTCTGCGGTGCTCCTGCTGGGGAAATGGGGTCAGGGTGCGGGGGCTAGCCCCCACCCCACCCGGCACTCCCGCCAGAAGGGTGACCAGATGTCCTGATTTTAAAGGGACAGTCCTGATATTTGGGGTTTTGTGTTATATAGGTCTGGGTGCGGGGGCTTCCCCAGCAGGAGCGCTGGGCAGATGGAGTGGGTCGGGGTGCGTGGGGGCGCCAATTTTTCCAGGGACCCCCCCCAGTTGACCAGGGGCAAGCAGACGGGGGAGCAGAAGGGATTGATGAGCCATACTGGCTGGAACAGTGGGCATCGCCTGCCTCACCAATGTCGAGGGGTTTTGTGGGCATCGCGGCAAAGGAGAGTTTAAGGCAGGATTTGAAAAAGGGAGAGGTCTCACTGCATGACCTGGGGGGCGGGGGGTGGGCAAGTCCCACCCCTGCTCTGTGCCTCAGTTTCCCCATTTGTAAAATGGGGGTCATGATAATGACCTGCCGCCCAAGGGGGCAGTTAGTTAATATTGGTAACTTGGTGGAAGGTGGTCTGATTCCTCTAGGGGATGGTCGTGTGAAGATCCCCCCCCGCCCCCCCGCTGGTACACTCTCTCTGCAGGGTGCCGCGGGGACACGGGGCCTAACAGCAAGGTTAGCTGAGGTCAAAACCAAACCAACCCCCCCCCCCCCATCTCCACCTCTCTGAAGGTGACTCCAAGAGCAGGACGACGACGGCTAATTGGTTTACTTAATTCCCTAGCATCTGCCGCTGTGGGCTGCCAGATTCATGTCAGATCTCATAAGCTAAGCAGCACGGGGCCTGACCGGTAATTGGATGGGAGGCCGCCCAGGTGGCTACCGGAGCCGGGGTGGGTGGGGCTCTTCTGCCAGCCATAGGCCGGTTAGCGTGGCAATTAGATCCCAGCAAGCGGGTGACCTGTGCTCAGTACGTGGCACCGGGGCATGCTTCCCCTGGCTAGCCGCAGCACGCTATGGGTATGGCCCGGATTGCCCCCTTTTCGCCAAGCTGCATCCTGTCACGGAGTGTGGGGGGAGTCCAGGCCCTGCACCCCTCTTCCAGGGATTCACTGAGACTCTCAGCCAGCCAGTAAAACAGAAGGTTTATTGGACAACAGGAACACAGTCCAAAACAGAGCTTGTGGGTACAAGCAGGACCCTTCAGTCAAGTCCTTCTGGGGGAGCAGGGAGCTTAGACCCCAGCCCTGGGGTTCCCTGTGTTCCTTCACCCAGCCCCAAACTGAAAACTAAACCCCCCCAGCAGGCTCCCTTTGCAGCCTGTCTTCACATGCCTGGGCAGAGGTGTTACCTCCCCCGCCCCCTCCTGGCTCAGGTGACAGGCTCTCAGGTCTGCCATCCCCAGGGCACATTCCCAGGTCAACACTTCCCCCTCCCTGCTGTGTCACATCGTCACACATCCCCAAAGATCTCACCTTCCAAGCCCCTCCACACTCCATATCACCGGGGCTAATCCTTTCTCTCTCCCTCCTGGCCTGGCAGGCATCCACTACGTGGGTCAGATGCACCCGAAGGGCATGCTGCGGGTGGCTTTGGACCAGCTCACAGATGGCCAGCTGGAGTGGGTGAGGCTGGAGGACCCCTACGACAGCGTGACGGTAGGGGACCGGGACTACCACTTGTGCTCGGGCAAAAGGACCTTTGCGGAGGAGCTGGAGAAGCAGTTCCCGGCAGAGAAGGAGGCCATCAGGGAGTTCATGAGGCTGTCCAAGGTGAGAGCCGAGGTCGTGGAGCAGACCCCTGGCTGCAGCAGCCCCAGCTGAGATCTGGGCCCCACGGCGCTTGGTGCTGTACATGTGCCCAGCGACAGAACCTGGCCCTGCCTGGGAGGGGAAACCAGAGACACAGAGAGGGGAGGTGACTTGCCCAGGGTCACTCAGAGCAGGGAACAGAGCCCTGGCGTCCTGAGGCTCAGTCTGATGCTCTGACCATTGGACCATGCTGCCTTGTGATTCACGGGTGCCATTGTGCTGGAGAGTCTCCCCCTCAGGATCTGAGATGGCTGGGACCCTCTCCTTCCCTTCCTGGGGGGAAAGAAGGCTCTGCCAGGCCCATTACTGTGGGTTGCTCTTGCCTTTCCTGTAGATGGCGGCGACACGGGTGCCCCTCATTGCTATACTCAAGATGATCCCCCTCTGGCTGGCCACGCTGCTGATCCGCACTGGCCTCATTCACTGGGTCTCCCCCGTCTTCAAGATGGCGGGCACCAGCCACAGCCAGGTCATGGAGCGGCTGACGGCCAACAAGGACCTGCAGGTGGTCCTCAGCTACTTCTTCTACGGTGAGGTGGGCCCCAGCCACCTGCCCCCTGGGGTTCCCCCCTATGAGTTGAGTAATCCATGACAGGTCAGCGCGGGTCAAACGCCTCCCTGCCAGGGAGTAAAGATGCGAGGAAAACATCTCTCCCAGGATAGCTCCCTGGGACTGCTCCCAAAGTACACTGATATCATCTAAACTTTCTATAATTAACTTCTACAAAACACATAGGTTCGAATGACTTGCCACTAAATCATCCCTTTTCTAACTTTCAATAAACTTTTACTATCAGAGCCATCTAGATTCAAGGCTGTCCATCCACCTATCTCCTTTCATTCTCAGTTATTTACTTTTCCGCCCCTTCTCCCATTCCGATTAGCAAAACTGCCGGTAGTTATGACCTTGTTTCTAAAAGCCCTGTCTCCAAATGAACCCTTCGCTAATATGGCTGCAATTAGCTTGATCACATTCTGGGGTGTATGCCCCCTACAAACCCAGGGCAACACCAGGTTCAGGCCTTGCAAGGGACATTCCAGTGCGAGGACGCGCCCCTGGGGTTGGAGGGAGATCCGGGGGGGGGGGGTGGTTACTTTTTGTGACTCGCCCCCTTGCCGCCAGGCGTCCCCCCCCGGGACTCCAGCTTCCTCATCAACGCCCTCATGGTGCACCACTACAAGCGTGGCGCCTGGTATCCACAAGGGGGCGCCAGCGAGATCGCCTTCCACGCCATCCCGGTGATCCAGCGGGCTGGAGGCGCTGTGCTGGTGAGAGCCCGCGTGGGGAGGATCCTGCTGTCCGAGGGCGGCGCGGCTCTGGGTGAGTCCCGGGGGCACCTGGGTTACCCCTCCCCACATGGCGGAAGTGCGTTTGCTAGGGTCTGGTGTCCTTGTCTCCCGGCAGGAGTGACGGTGCAGAAGCGGGGCCGGGAGGAGGTGGTTTATGCCCCCGTGGTGATCTCGGACGCTGGGATATTCAACACCTTTGGGACCCTGCTGCCCGCAGAGATCAGGAGCAAAGCAGGTAAAGGGGGAGCAGCCCTCTGGGACCTCAGCAGAGGTGGTGTCTGCCCCACCCCTCTCCAGGAGGCCAGGCAAGGGCCCAGTCTGGCAGACAACTGGCACGGTCCATGGGGTGGCAGAGAGAATGGATGGGCGCGGCTGCCAGCGTCGGGCTGTCCTGTTCTCCTGGGCGCATCTGGGAAGTCCTAGGGCGGCCCCGTGGAATTGAACCCTGGGCCTCCAGACCCCAAAGCGTGAGGCTCGCCTGCTTGTGCTGAAAGACCGGGAGCAAAACCACAGGGGCAGGAGCTGGCCCAGAACTAGCAGGGGCTGGAGAGACAGACGGTGTTAGCCTGGGGTACCAGAGCAATCGCCAGCGGCTTTCCCCTGCACCACCCATCTGTACCCCCCTGGCCCCTCGCTCTCTCTTACAGGGATCCAGTCTGTGCTCAGCATGGTACAGCATGGCATGGGCTCCTTTCTGGTCTTCGTGGGCCTCCAGGGGACCACCGAGGAGCTGGGCATCAAATCCACCAACTACTGGATCTACCTGGACAACGATCTGGACGAGATGTAAGTGGCAGGCCAAAGGTCCCTAAGACCTCTCGGTCGCCCCCTCAGAGCAGGTGTGCTTCTCTGCCTGTCCCATCTCTGACACCTGGGTCCTGATCCCGTGCCTCGGTTGGTCCAGATCCTGTGGTGCTCTTCAGAAGCATCAGAGATCTTAAGGCTGAAAGGGATCAGCTTGTGGTAGACCCAGTAACCCGGCCCCATTCTATCCTTTAATTGCGTTATGAGGGACCCCAGCCGGGAGCAAGGCCACGCTAGTGCTGGGCACAGAATAACAGAGGAGCTTACATTTGAAACAAACCTCTGCCGATTCCACCCCCAAGCCACCCGCCTAGTCTCCCAGGTGAGATTTTTCCTCCTTTCCTGCCCGACGCTGCTGTGCGGCTGGTAAACAGCCGCTATGTCCCGCCCCAGAGGTGGAAGCATTTCAAGGGCGAGTGACGGGATCCCTGCACGTCCCTTACCTGCCGCACACTTGGGGAGGTGAACGGGAAAAGGAAGTAGTAATGGAAAACATTATGCAAGTGAAAAATGCCCACTTTCGTCAGACGACGCTGACCAGAGCATGGTTAATGATGGAATTAAATAGACAGGGTCTGTACGTTAGATGTTGCCGACGGAAGGAGCCGTAGAAGCAAAAGTTACTATTCCTTGTCCTCTCTATGTTCCAATGGTTATTGTTGATGTTAGAATAGCAGCTAAAGGCCCCAGTGTGCTAGGCTCTGTACGGACACATGGTAAGCAGAGACAGTCCTGGCTCTGATGAATTTACCATGTTAATAGTTGAGAGATGAAGAGAGGGAGGGGAAACTGAGGCACGGGGTGGGGACGCAACTAGCCCAAGGTCACCCAGCAGGTCAGTGGCAGAACCTGCCCGCTAGACCATGCTGTCTCTTCAAGCACTCTGCTTCCCTTCTGGCTCGCAGGGTCTGTCGACACGGTCGTGGTGGGGTGTCTGTGTGGTAGGGACGTCCGCTAGGGGACGTCTGCGCTCGACACACGACAGCGGCAGAGCTGTGGCATCATTGTGTAGACATGCACCGCAGCGGTGGAAGGGGCGGTAGGGGTGACCTAGGCGTGGGGGTCGGGGTGGATTAATTACACCGCCCAGGGCAATGCACAGGGCCTAACTCTGTCTGGGCAGACTTGTCGGCCGTACCAGACGGAGGTGGTGGAGGGACAAGGCGAGAGCTAGGTGTGTCCCAGCTCAGCCGGAGCCTGTGACCTCAGCCCCTCGCCCCACGTGTGCTGTGACCCAGAGCTGCTCGCATGCCAGGCCCCAGGGGTCGAGGTCAGACCTGGAGGGCAGGTCCCAGGGGAGCGGTTTGCGGCTGAGTTCAGACTCATTCACTTGTAAGGGGGAGGCGATGGGAATTGCCCCCTGGCAGAACGCATTCTGCCCTCACCACCCACTAGGCAGCCCTGTTACTCCACGCACAGGAGGGGGTGGGGGTAGGTGGCGAGGGCGGCTCATGGGTGTAGAGGGCTGGGGTGCAGCCCTCCTCCTTCCCCTCCTCCCCAGGAGGTCTGGCATCCCGCCGTACCATTTGCGCTCTTTCTGTTCCTTTCAGGATGACCCGCTACGCTGCCCTCAGCAGGGAGGAGGTCAGTGAGAACGTGCCCATGATGTTCATCACCTTTCCATCAGCCAAGGACCCCACGTACCAGCAGAGGCACCCAGGTACCCACCCAGAGACCGGCAAATGTGTCCCGGAGCTGGGAACCATTGGAGGGTGGGGCGGGGGGATATGAGGGAGGTTCCTGTTCATGGAAGGTCAAGAAGATGCCTCCTGGCCGAGGACCAGCAAGACTGAGCCAGTCCTGCACAGGTTAAGTAGTGGCCATCTCTGTACCTGCTGGCCACCCTATCCAGTAGCCAACGGGCTCACACTTCTCACATGGGCCTGTTGCCCCATCCTTAAACCCCTGCCACCCTCCGTATGGTGCCCCTGGATCTAAGGATCGTGCCATCCCCTGGCCAATGGTGAAATGTCCCGGGGACAAACCCCAATCATTAGAGGGCTGGAGAAAATGCCAGATGGGGGGTTGTGCTCGGGCTCTGGTGCTCTCCCGACCCCCTAGACAGGAGATCCCAAGCGCCAGCCCGAGCCACAACACCCCACTCTCGCTTCAGGGTCTTGCTGCCCTCCGAGTGTCGGGTCTAAGCGTCACCACCCCGGCTGCCCCCGGGGATTCCTGCCTGGGAGGGAGGTGCCGCCCCCGGCTCAGCAGGGGCTGCTGGTGAACCCAGTAGCTTGTGGCTGAGCTAGAATGCAGGCCAGGTGTCCTCCTGGTTCACGCCGGCTGAAGACCCGGTCCCATATCTTTCAGGCCGACGCCCAGTCCTAGGGCCGTGACTCCAATTGATATGTTGCCCTGGCCGTGCGCGCTCCTCTAGGACAGCCATCCTGCCCCCACAACCACGTTTCAGGGGGCTCCAGATGTCCTTCTCCCATTTGGGGGGCTGGCCCAACATCACAGAATGGGGGAGTGTTGGTTGGGGCAGGGGCCTGTTCAGGAGGGTCCCCCGAGGTTTGCGGCCAGCTTGAATCAGCTCTGTCCTCTCCCTGTGCTCCAGGCCAGTCCTGCATGACCATCCTGACCATGGCTCGCTACGAGTGGTTCGAAGAGTGGTCAGGGGCTGGTGTGAAGAACAGAGGGGCTGACTACCATGCCTACAAGATGGAGATCGCCCAGCGGCTGCTGGACATGGCCCTGGAGAGGTTCCCTCAGCTCTGTGGCAAGGTGACACCCCAGTAGACTCCTCCAGTGGGCCTGTGCCGGTTTCTACTGGTGGGCCAGTAGTTCTGTGAGTCCCTGGAACCATTAGCCCCATAGCTCCATTGCTCTGTGCCCAAGGGCTAGCTGCCAGAAGGTCCCAGGAGGACCCAAAGCTCAAGTTGAAGTAGGCATGGCCCTGTACGTAGTGGGTGAGGGCAGGTCCAGGTTCTCAGATCAGCTTCTTGGTCTCTGGGCCTGGGCCTGCTGGGGAGGATTCGTACTCAGCTTGGTGGGGCGGGGGACGAGCCACAAGGGATTGTAGGAGCAAAGGTCCTGCGACAGCTGGTTTGCCACCACATGATAACCGCGATTAGCTGGCGCAGAGGGGACATTACTAGAGCCCATTCAAGGCGTGTCACGAGGACTGGTGGCATCCAGAAGCCATGTTCACACTGGAAAATAGATGGATTCCACACCCATGTTAGAGCCCTAGTGTAGACAAGGCAAGCTGTCGCTTGAATGGGGAGTAGCTGGTCAAGGGCCCCCTTAGCTGCGAGCCCAGGCTTAACCCCAACCCGAAAGCCCGGTTCTGAAAAGCCCGGTTCTGAGACCCCTTTGATAGCTCCAGGGGAGCCTTTGGATCCAGGCGAAGCCCCTGGCTTGTGAAGAGATCACTGCACCCGGGACATGCATACACACACGCATGTACACGCACACACACACGTGTACAGAGCAGGGAGCGGAGGGCCCGCCTCACTCAACGAACACAGGTGGGAAGTCCAGCTTGCTGTGTCGGCACTGGGATGTTCATGTGTTAACACTTTTTTAGTTCCCCCCTTTCCCAGTGAAGACAAGCTGTGGGCGGGTGGGTGGAGTGGGGGTCCAAGGGCAATGGGGCAGGGACCCTCATCTGGAAGGACTTGGGCCTGTATAGTTGGACATCATGGGGTCCTAGAGTCCGTGCTGGGGGGGAGTGGGTTGAGGGGCAGGGCGTGGGGGCTGGAAGGGCTGGCAACGGGCGGTTTCTGTAGCCCCATGTTGCTCCCTGGCCTGCATGTTGTCCCCCTACCTCTGGGCAGGTGGAGTTCCTGGAGGCGGCCTCCCCTCTCACCAACCAGCACTACCTGGGGGCGCCCCGCGGCGAGATGTACGGGGCCGAGCATGACGTGAGCCGCTTCGCGCCGGCCGTCGTGGCCACCCTGCGGGCGGAGACGCCCGTCCGGAACCTCTACCTCACGGGTAAGGGCAGCCTCCGGCCCCGGGGCCGTCCCCACCCCGCCCCGGCCGGTGGCGCTCACCCCACTCCGTCTGGGCGTCGGGGTGGCCCACCGGGCCTTGGTGGGTGCCCGGCAGGTTGGCCCCTGCTCTTGGGTTGAGCCCTGACTTCACAGGAGCCGGGTGGGGGGGGTCCCTCCAGGGCCGGGTTGGTGGAGCTGAACCCAGAGCGCGAGTCCCCCCCTGCCCGGGGCGGGCCGCTCTGGGTGGCGAGGCGGGCTCGGGGGCAGCATGGCAGTTCTGCTGTCTGACGCCCTCCCGTGTGTCCCCATCCCAGGGCAGGACGTCTTTAGCTGCGGCCTGGCCGGCGCCTTGCACGGCGGCCTCATCTGCGCCTCCGCTGTCCTCAACCGCATCCTCTACGTGGACCTGCTGCTCCTGAAGAAGAGGCTCAAGAGGGAGCGTGGCAAGAAAGCAGCCTAGGGCCCCCCCCGGCAGGGGGGGAGTGGACCCCATCCCTGCTCACGCGACCCAGGGACTAGCTGCCCCATCTCCGTCCTCTGATGCTCAGCCTCGCCGTGCCCCAGCTCTTTCCCTGGGGCTGGGAACGTGCCGGAGAAGGAAGGTCGGAACCTCATCTACACACCCGTTCTCACCCCCAAACCTGCTTTTCCACCCCCAGTCTGGGATTTCCCTCCACCCACCCCGGCCGCTGGCTCTGTGCATCGGTCTACATGGCAATTAGATACCTGCGGCTGGCCCGTGCCAGCTGACTCAGGCTCGCAGGGCTCGGGCTAAGGGGATCCTTAATTGCGGTGTGGACATTTGGGCAGGTGTTTTGGGACCCTGTGAGGTGGGAGCTCGGGTGGCAGCCCAGGCCTGAACATCTGTGTCTCCAGCTGCTGGGCCATTGCCCTGGAATGAGGAGACAAAACCCAGCCTGGCTTTCTGCCTCTAACATTTTGGGGTGCAGTCCAGCCCACTGAGGGGCTGTACCACCCCTGGCCTGCTGCCTCGAGTGCATTGCAGGCAGCAGGCAGGTTCCCATCCTGAGTGTCTGAGGAAAGCCACAGCCCTGGTCCAGCAGCTCTGCCCCAGCAGCCTGCCAGCACTTGCCGGTCACCCTCTGACTCCACCAGCCTGGGTTACCACTTCCCGGGTGGCCTCAACACATTCCCCGTCCCCGATTTCCCCCCAGAATGCGCGTTCTGCGCTGTCCATCCCTTGCCTGGTCTGTTGCCCCTCTGAGAGGCTCAATATACGACAGCTTGCCACCTTCAATGGAGTTACCCAAACAGTTTGCAACGTTGGATTCATTTTGATTAAGAATCAAATTCGTTTATTGAACTACAAGTGTTAGAATTTAAGTGAGTACAAGAAGAAGGCACTGAAGTCAGAAATGGTGACAGGAGAAATAAAGGTAAAACACTTTCTAAACTGAAACTAGGCTTGGTTCAAGGTGAAACTCTTATCCCAGGTCCCCTGAAACGCTGCTGACCCAATTCTCCGGCCAGGATCTGCTCCCAAAGGCTGTGTCTTTTGTTGTCTTTGGTGAAAGACAGCAGGCAATGGCTGGCTGGGGAGCAATCCCCTGGGGGTGTTTTTGCCCCCAATTTTTATAGTTCAGCCACCTGTTTGCAAATGCATTTTCCTGAGGGTCACCCCTAGATAAAGGTCATTCTCGCTGTGAGGACGGAGACCAAAAGCTGCTATTGTTTGCTACCATGCGGATCTGTTTGGTCCTGCCCCCCCTTCCTTGCCAAAGAATGGTCACATGCTACGTGCATGCCCCCATTAGCTTTGATGACACCTGGCTAGAGGCGTCAGCTTGTCCTTTGGCATGGAGAAACTGGTTTACCCCTTCCCCAGCCTTGGCTGGTCAACACGCCTCCGTCCCGATTTCAGCTGAGAGTCATCACTGTACAAATAATGTCGCTACACCCCTTTCACCAGGCCGTTACTGACCAGCGCGTGATTCGTTTTCAGAGGATACCGCACAGGGCGTATTGTATACAATGATTATGACAATGGTGTGTAGGGTGTGAATACAGGGGTGCATCCCGTCGCACTGCCGCCAGCTGGGAAGGGCGTCCCTGAGCCAGGGCTGCACAGCCAGGATGGACTATGGGGTGGTGCCTTCCTCCCCCCTGCACCCCAAATATTCCAGCCTGCGGCAGGGGCCGGAGGGCGCAGCTACCGTGCCGGGCGCTTGGTCCAGAGGTTGCAACGCTTGGTTCGATGCCCAAATCGGAGGCGGCGGTGTCCAGAGAGTGCAGATTGGTGCCAACCTGGAAGCTGCAGCTCTGACTCACCATCCCCGCCATGGCTAACCAAACACCAGCTGCCCAGCATGGAACTCACGCTAGGTATGAGCTTGGGGCGGCTGAAAAACAAAGGGGGTGAAGCTGAGGGTGCTGCCAGCACCCCCGGGTGGGTACAAGAGGGACCAGCACCCTCGCCACAGCTCCCTCCAGTTGTCTGCTGCTGGTCCCAGCTGGGTTAGTCCCCACCCTGTCTGTCGTATGTCGCCTGGCACTGTCTGGTCCTGGATCCCACTTCCTGCCCTGATGGCTGTTGGCTTATTTCCCGACGCTCCACGGTCCTCAGCAGCAAGGCATGCAATGTGCCACTCAGCAAGGACGTGGGCTCAGCTAGCTCTTTGGGGATCCCCGCTGAGCTCCAATGAGAAAAAGCGGGGCACACATGTAACGGTTGTCGGCAGGCGGGATCGAACCTGGGACCTCCGTGCATGAGCCCAAAGCCACCTGGCTGTTAAGCAAACTCGTTAATCTCCCTCTAGGTGGTCTCGGTGCCACGAGATGGGACAGACCGCCACACCCAGCGGGTGTGTGGGTTCATACTTCCCCTCGCTGAGGAAACGCGTCCCGACCTTCAGAGACTTCCCAGTCGAAATCCCGGACGAGCCCCCACTTGAAACGCCAACAGACCCAGACGGTCGGCGGGCGGGATCGAACCTGGGGCCTCTGGAGCTGAATGCATCAGCCTTTACTGCATGAGCTACAAGCCAGGCGCCTGGTAGCCCAGGCCGCAGAGCAAACTCATTAACTCGCTCTCTCTCTCAAAGGGGTCTCGGGACAGAACCCCGTGCCCAGGAGGTGTGTGGGTTACACACGCAAACAGGCTCCCATTTCTCCTGCCGTGTCAACAAACCGGGCCGGGGTGTGCAGCCATTATAAATCAACGGGATTGTGCGAAAGCCACACCCGACGCCATCGCTCATGGTACAGCGCTCGTGGGGGGCGCAGAAGGGCGAACCCTCTGAAGAGCTCTGGCCCTGAGGGAGACGAGATGGCACTCGTGAGGGCCCTGGAAGCTTTTTGGCTTGCGCCAGAGCATCCCCACGGGACAGCGCTTGGCGGGGACGCTGGCGAGTTGTTCGCTCTGACGCCGGCCTGGCCTGCAGCACAAGCTTCCCGGGGAGGCTAAGGGGAGCGGCTGGCCCAGCCCTGGCAGGAGAGCACCCCGTCCGGCCAGGGTTTGCCCGCTGCAGCCTGGCTGCCGGGGGCTGAGCTGGGCCCCACCATGTGGAGACGACAAAGGAGATTTAAAGCCAGCTCTGTCCTTGTCCCTGCCCCACGTGCCAGGCAGGGCCAGCGGGTGCTCAGGGGCTCGGCTCGTGGAATTTAGCAAAGTCCAGAGTGTAGCAACGTGATTGCCTGGGGCGGGAGCCGCTTTTATTGCCCCCTCATGTGGAGTCGGGCCCTGCAGCAGCTGCCTGCTCTCTGGACCGGCCAGGGGCGGGGGAAATGCTGGGGCCAAAGGACGGCGGGCGCCTTGTCTCCCATTGGCGCAGTGGGCGCCCTTCCCCTCCCAGTGCCCCCGCCCTGCTCCCTGCCCCACTGACGCCACCCCCCTGAGCTCTCTTCTCCAGCTTCATCTCCCCCTACCTGAGCCTCTTACCTGCCCTCCAGCTGCCAGCTCTGCCGCCTTCCCTCCATCGCCCAGCTCCCCCATGGGACGGTTCAGCCCCACACCAGTTATACCCCCTCCCCCAGCAAGAATGCTCCCTTGCCTTGCCCCACAACGGGCCAGCCCCTACTCCAGTGGGGGAGCCGTGCCTTAGCTCACCGGCGCCCCCTGCAGATTCCCCCCCAGGACCTGCACGCCAGCAGTCCACTGGGATTGATTTGTGTCCTCGTGGGACCAGGCCCTCGCACGCAGGCAACAAACATGACACCGGCAGGGTTTTGACGTATAAATACAAGCAGCTTGGGTTGGCCCCGTTGGCTAACTACACAGAGCAAGAGCCGAACAATCAAACAGCCCAAGGCAGCAGCAGCCAGTGCTGACAGCCCATTTCAAATACAGGGAGGGGCCGGCTTTGAGTGGCGTTGTGACCCCCCACGGGCCCGGTCCCAACACCCCTGCAATTGGGCCCGGGTGCCCTTTTGATGCAGGGGCAGGCGGACCCAGTTTGCATGATGTGACAGCCCGGCACACAGGGTCGCAACGTCACTCACATCTGGCCCTGGTGCCCCTCCGTCATCCACTGCCCATATTTATTTGAGACAATGAAGTTCAACCCCACGGCTTGAGAATCAAGATGATCACCAGGTGGGTCGAGCGGGACATGCGAAAATGGTTGTCAGCACCCCCAACTTCAGCCAGTGCCAAGCCACGGCCAGCCTGGGACCCCGTCTCTGGTGGGGGGTGTGGGCAGGACCATCCAAGGAAGCTGCAAGAACCCTGCAGGGGGCAGTCCTGGGATAACCTGGGGAAGCGCCTGCCTCACCCCCGACCTCTCCCTAGCTGAAGTTGCAGATGCCGATGGCCATTTTTGGGTGCCTCACTTGATTCACCAAGTGATAGTCTTGTGACGAGCATCTGCCGCAGTGATTCTTGCTAAGATGAGGACCAGTGATCCCCATGCTTCCAGGCCGGGGCTGAGCCCCTGCTGGCGGTTAGGAAGGAATCTCCCCGCCTGCTGCACAATACGATACACTGAGGGGTGGCATTCAGCCCGCTGAAGCATCCACCACTGGCCACTGAGATCTGTTGCCAGTGGCCTTTCGTGACGCAAACGACCCACTGCGGAGGGCTCAGAAGAACTTGTGAGTTCATAGCGCCCACCCTGCCGCCGTCCCCCCCAAACCACACATGATCAATGTGGGGTTGAACTAGGGTTGCCAACGTTGTCTTTAAAAACATATGGGCTGTGGGTGACAGAGGGGCACCTGGGTCAGATGTGAGCAACGTTGCCACCCTGCGTGCCAGGTTCCAACATCACTCAAATTTGGCCCGGCTGCCCTGGCATCAAACGGGCGGCCGGGCCATATTTGAGTGGTGTTGGGCCCTGGCACGCGGGGTCACAAACCCACTCAAATCAGGCCCAGCCGCCCCCTCCGTCAGCATCCTCTTTGACCCTGTATTTCAACCAGAGGGAGCAGCCTGAGCTCTGTCCCCGGCAATAGTGAATCAAAGGCCTCCCCCCAAGCCCAGCCCCGGCAGCCCCCAACCTCACACCCACACCCACCCTACTGGGGTCAGCAGCACAGGGCGGAATCCATGGGGAGGGGCTCCTGCTTTAGCACTGGTCTCTTGTCTCCAGCCCTGCTGGGGCATGTCCTGCCACGGTGCCCTTGCCCCTTCCTGGATGGTGCCCCCATGGCAGGGGGTGGCTTATCATGGCAGTTGTTGGAGAGAGATTGGCTGGGGGGGGGTGTTAATCGCTGCCACCCCAAGGTGATGCCAGCAAATGGCGAGCTCCGTGGCGCCCCCCTAGAATCTGGTCTGGTAGTTAACGCCTGTTGCTGGAGGGTCTGCCATGATGACGCTGTAGGAGGGCGGCGGGATGGCAGGGAGCGGGTACAGGGACTGCTTCGACACCACCTAGGAACGGAAGCATGTCAGACAGCTCTGCAAGGCGCCCCGCCGAGCCCGCAGCTGAGAGACTTTTGAGGTCACCGGGGAGGAAGTGTGATCTAGTGGGTAGAGCGGGACGAGGCGGGGGACTGGGAGTCCTGGGTTCTATCCACAGCTCGGGAACGGGAGCTGGGATCAGGGCTCGGAGCAGGGGGCCGGCCAGAGCAGGATCCAGTGAGGGAAGGTGCTGGAGACGGGCCGAGTGATTAAGGCCAACGAACTGACTCGGAGCCAGAGCCAATCAAGCCGGCTTGCTCGGCGCTGCACTGGGCAGCCCGCAATGCACTGGTCAGTGGCCAACACCGCCATCCGAGCCCTGCTCCCCCGTCTCCCATGACGCTAGCCCGGGTTCACCCCACCGGCCAGCGGGCACGGATGGGCTCCGAGCCGTAGAGATCCAGGAGGAGCTGTGCGAGTCCTGGATGGGGCACAGCAGGCTGGGCAGAGGGCGAGGCCCTAGGGCTCTCAGTTCTGCACCAGCTGGCAGGGGGCTGGCGACGGGTGTAGCAAACTGACAGTGCCCGCTGCTCCACGGGCCGGCAGATGGAACCCACCTCGCTGTAGGGCGGG